AATGTTCACATATATGGTCACAGTATCTATGAGGGTACCAACACTGCCTAGTGGGGAAAAGGACAGCCAGTTCTACAAATGGTGCTGGAAAACTGAGTATACACATGCAAGAGTGAAGTTAGAACCTTAATTTATACCATATACAAACCTATTGCAAATGGATAAAAAAATGTAAGAGTTAAAACTAGTACTTTTAAAAGAAAACATTTAGGGGGAAAACAGAATGACCTTGAATTTGGCAGTCATTTTTTGGATATGACAGCAAAATCACAGACAACATAAAAATAGAGAAAACCGGGCTACATTAAAATTTAAAACCTATGTCAATCAAAGAATACGGTCAACAGAATGAAAAGTCAATTCAGAAGAGGGGGAAATATTTTCAAATCATATATCTTGACAAGGGGTTAATATTAAGAATATATTTTAAGAAACTCCTACAACTCAACAACAACAACAGAAACATCAAATAACCCCATTTTAAAAATGGGTAAAGGATTGAAGAGACATTCAAAACTACACAAATAGGCAGCAAACAAAAATATGCTCAACATTACTAATTGTTAGGAAATGCAAACCAAAGCTATAATGAGATATCCCTTTATACTCATTGGAATTGCTACTATCTAAATATGCAAATTAACCACCACTCCATTACATCCACAAGCCACGCCCACCAGCCAATCAGAGCAAGTATGCCAATTAACCCCAACCAAGATGGCTGCTGCCACAGAGAGCAGGAGAGAGGCTTGGGTTTCTCTGGCAATGGAGAAAACCAAGCTTTCCGCCTGCCCTTGCCGGCCTAGGTCTCCACTCAAGGCTACAAAGTTTCAATTATAAAAGGTAAACAAATCCAAACAGAAATGGCAGCAGCCACCAAGCGAGCAGGGGATTTGGCTCCACTCCAGGCTACAAAGTTTTAATTGTAGGAGATAAATAAACCCCAGATACCAGGGCCTCCACTTTGGCCGCTATGGGGCGTGGCTGGCTTGCAAACCACCACAGGCCCCTTGCTCAGGCCGCCCCATGCCTTAAGGGAACCCACTCCCTGATCCAGGACACCCTTCAGGGCAAACCAGCTGGCCCCCATCCATGCACCAAGCCTCTATCCTAAATAATAAAAGAGCAATATGCAGATTGGCCATCACTCCAACACACAATATGGCTGCCCCCATGTGGTTAAAGATCCTGCCCCCAAGTGGACACAAGATGTTTAAAAATAGTTAAGATGGTTTTATATTGCATATATTTTTCCATAATTAAAAAAACTTTTTGTAATTTTGTTTTTTCTTTCATTTTTTTATTAAGGTATTATATGTGTACATATCTTACCAATTCCCGCCCCCCTTCCATACATGCCCTCCTTCTCCAGAGTTTTGCGTCCATTGGTTATGCTTATATGCATGCATATAAGTCCTTCGGTTGATCTCTTATCTCCCCCATATCTCCTTACCCTCACTACTATAATTTGACAATCTGTTTGTTGCTTTACTGTCTCTATATCTATCTTTTTGTTCATCAGTTTATAATGTTCCTTATTATCCATAAATGAGTGAGATCATGTGTTTTTCTTTCATTGACTGGCTTATTTCACTCGGCATGTTCTCCAGTTCCTTCCAGGTTGCTGCAAATGATAAGATTTCCTTCTTTTTTATGGCAGCATAGTATTCCATTGTGTAGATGTACCATAGTTTTTTTGATCCAATCATCTGCTGACGGGCGCCTAGGCTGTTTTCAAATCCTAGCTATTATAAATTGTGCTGCTATGAACATAGATGTTTTTGCAATTTTGTAAAAAATTAAACATTCATGTAGCAAATGATCCAGCCATTTACTTTAATTTATCCAAGAGAAAAAAAAACATATGCCAATACAAAGATTTGTACAAAAATGTCCTTAGTTGCTTTATTTATAATAGTCCCAAACTGGGCATAATCCAAATGTCCATTAACAGTTGAATGGTTAAATAAATTGTGGTCTATTCATAGAAAGACATGAATTACTGACACACACAACTGAAGTTTACAAGTATAATGGTGTACTATAACGTACCAAAAGTAGGTTTGCCTGGATCAAAGAAATTTACATTTGTAATTCTAAAAGATTCTTTCTCCCTCTCTCTCTCTTTCTCTCTCTTTCTCTCCCTCCCACCCTCCCTCTCTCTCTGAAATAAATTAAAAATATATTTTTTAAAAGTTCATCTTTACCTTATTTCAGATGCTGCCTTTATTTTATTATAATTTCCTTTATGTGTTGGAATCTGTTTTGGTCTTTTACATTGGTCTGTTGGTCTATTGAACATGAAGGAGCAAGGAGTACAAAAAAATCAGCCTACAGAAATGGAATAAAGGAGAGAGTGATAACTTTGTTTTGGTGATAAAATAGAAAACCAATTTTTTTCCTGCTGAGGAAATATGCATACACCTTGAAATCAACCTGTGCAAGAGAAACATAAGGGAGCATAGCTGTATTTGAAAGTGGCATTACAGAAGTGTATGAGGGAAATTACCAAAGGACCTGAGGGGTAGATAGCCCCAGTTCATTGAATGCTTTAGATGCCATACAGAATTTTAATTTTGACTTATAAATAGTGGAACAATTTCAGCAGACTAATGAAATGTAAGATTATGTAAGATTGGAGGCTCCTTGCATGAAGATTCATGCAAGAATAGGCCTTCCTTCCCCTGGCTTCCTTCCGGCCGCCCAGGAGCCTGCAAGTTCTCGCTCCCAGCCACCTGGGAGCCTGCAAGCCTTCGCTCCTGGCTGGAGCACCACTCCTGTAGCTTCCTACACCCTCACCAGCCCCCTCATAGCATGTGTTTCACCCTACCCAGCTGCTCTGCGACTGCATTTGCAAATTAACCCACTGTCTTTGTTGGGTTAATTTGCATGCTCATTCCTGATGGGCTGGTGGGTGTTTTGCAGGTATGGTCAAATTACATATTTATCTTTCCTTAGTGTAGATTATATTGGGGGGTGGGTTATAAACCTGAGTTTAATGGGCTTCTCAGCAAACCCTACATGGGCGTCAGGTTACATGAATCCCCCACTCCCCAAAATTTCATGTCAGAGTGAGCATGGGAGTCTTTTATCCGATTCTCAGAAGTCTGACACACACAAAAGTTAAGAATACCTTTTAAAACTAAATTAGGGTTGCCAATCAAGTATTTGTATTAGAGTAAACAATATGAGTAGTAGAGGGGGAAAGTGAGCTTTTTCCCTTTAGTTCATTATTTCTAGAAGGTATGGCTAATCAATAATATTTATGTTCTGTAAAATTGCTGCAGGCAATTAGTGAATACTGACCCATTTAGTCCTAGGGCAAATACAAGGTTGCTGTTATATAAATGAACCAAAGATGGCCTCTGCATAGTGACCCTTAGGTGGTTTGTGGTTGTGTTGTGTTTTGTTTTGTTTTTCACAGTTTGCTGGTGTTCATTAGCATAAAAGCCCGCTGGCTTAGGATACTTGTTTACAATGTAAGAGCTAGAACAAGAAGGCACAGTGTCACCTTTTTCAGCCTCAGCTGGGAAGGTACATGTTGAGCGCTGCTCTACACATGTTTGCAAAAGCACTACAAGTATTGATTTGGGGGTTACAAATTTGAGCAGGTAGACAAATCACAAGCGCAGAATGAATGAATAAAGAGGATCAACTATACCAATCTTATCTCATCCACACTTCCAGTGATGAGCCTACTCCTTCATAAACTTTTTCCTTGCTGGGTAACTTTAATGTTGTTGTAATTTGGCATCATAATTTATTCTAATTATAGGTCCTAATTTGGCTCCCTGAATTATTCTCCCTTTGATATACTATTTAAATTCAGCTGTCCTATATCTACTCTTACTCCATTTTGTCCCTGTAGCATGAAAATTCTTTTTCTTTAGAAACTTTTGGCTTGCTAAGAATTACGTGATTTTAAAAAATGGAACCTGGCTGGTCCGAGTGCAGTGGTATCTACAATTAAAAAATGGAACCTTTAATTTTATTGTTATTAACTAACACATCCCCTCTACCTGTACTCCCCTCCACCTCACCACCCTCATCATTAAAACCTGAACTCCTGCTGCACCACTTTAGTTCTCATAGTGTTTTTCAGTTCTCTTTCAGTTACATATTATTTAGATTCACTGGGAAGGGAGCTTGAAGAAGAAAAGGCCAAAATAGGGATGAATTCAAGTATATAAACTCTTTTATCTCTTTCCACTGGTCCTTCCCTCTCTACCCCAGTGCCTTTTCTACTTCTCCCCAGGTTAGCTTCATTCTGTGTCCAGATTTTCTCAGTGCAGCGGGAAAGATGGCCACTGGGGGCTCCAGATTTCTATCTGCTTGGCACTCTGTAACTATAGTGAAAAGAGGAACTTCTCTCAGCCAGTTTCATCTATCAGTTAGGAAAGAACTCTGATTGAGTTTGGGTCATGTATCTATTTTCGGATCGATTGCTATTGTCAGGGATACAGGACACTGATTAGCCAGCTTATGTCATGTGTAGCTAGAAAAGTAGTAACCCTTGATTGAGAGCCTCTCCTGGAATTTTTAGGAAAGGGAGGTTCCCTCAGAAACAGGAGTGCTAGTCAACTAAACAAGTATCAGTTATAGACACAAGACAAGTATTTTTCCCCCTTGGGTGTTTAAGATCAATAGTACATCTCTCAAGGACCATCAGTGTGATTGAATGATTGCACAGTTTTTAGTTTTAAACAATGTTGGATCAAAATTGATTTTGCTTTAAATGTTGACATTATTGTTACTTAGTGGTGGGTACATAGGGATCTGTTATATTTTCTATTCTCTCATGTTTAAAATATTTTATAATTTTAATGAACTAAAATTCATTTTAAGTTGGTGAATAATAATAGATATCTATCATAATTTTTCTTTAATAGTAAGTTAGCTGTAGAAATTATGTTGTATCTGATATAGGTAAGTTATTTTTTTTAATGTGATAAACATAATTTATTTCTTTTACCTCATATCATGTAATTATGATATTCTAGGTACCTGCGAGGTGTGGAGTTACAGTCCGGGACAGTCTAAAGAAAGCATTGATGATGAGAGGTCTAATCCCAGAGTGCTGTGCTGTTTACAGAATTCAGGATGGGTATGGTTTGTATGTGATGTGAAACTTTGTGTGATCTTTACCTAAAACAAGGGAATTGAAAATCAACTTTCGAAAACAATATTACATTATTATTAAGTTTAGCCTAAAGAAATCTTGTGGGCCTTTTGAGGCATTAACATTAGATAATTTTGTATGTGACAGTAATGTGTTACTCTGATTAAATGGCTTTGTGATTCTTAAATTTTTCTAATCATGTGACTCTTTTGAATAGTGGACTCAACTCCATGCCCTTATTTTTAATACAAACTCATAGTTTCACAAAAGACTTATCAAATTAACATTTTATATTGAATTGTTTTTCAAACCATCTAAAATTATGCTAAGACACACACACCTTCCTAATTTTGAATCCTGTTTTAAAAATTATCCTTTTTGGGGCATGTTGTCCCTTAAGTACTCTTTTTTTTTTTTTTTTTTGGATAGATATATCCGTACCTGTGATTTTTTTTTTTTTTTTTTTTTAATTCCAGGAACAATCATTTTCTACTGTTGTGGATCTTTTCTGGAGCTAACTTTAAGAAAAGAGTACATATCTTTACCTTGCTGTTTGTCCAAGAATGATACATTTATTTGGTGTAAACTTAAAAATTAATTTATTGCCATCTAAATTTCTAACATGAAAGACCAAGGAGACAAAACTCCCTCACCATTATTAGCCACTCACTAACCAATTTTCATATCTTCAGCATGAGGTATATGAAGATTTTTAGGTATGATTACCAAGGAAGGCTTGTGTCTACACTTTACAGAGAGAAGAAACCAATTGGATGGGACACTGATATTTCCTGGCTTACTGGAGAGGAATTGCATGTTGAAGTATTGGAAAATGTTCCACTTACAACACACAACTTTGTATGTACCTTTACATTTTTTTTGAAATGTCAAAAATGTTTTTGTTGCCCTAACTGGTTTGTCTCATTGGTAGAGCTTTGGCCTGCGAACTGAAGGGTCTCGGGTTCCATTCAGGCCAAAGGCGCATTCCGCTGTCTCAGGCTCAATCCCCAGTAGGGGGCGTGCAGGAGGAGCCAATCAATGATTCTCTCTCATCTTTGATGTTTCTACCTCTTCCTTTCTCTCTGAAAGCAATAAAGAAATATATGTATATTCACTGTATATTTATATATTTAAATGTTTATGTTCTGTGAATGAATATTTATTTAGGAAATATGAGTGAATAATTTGGGGATTGATAGTTTACCTCAGTTAAAAATCAGTTCTATTCTTTAAAAAACTTGAATTTAAACTAATGAGTTTTACTTGAGTCAGTATACTTTCTTTTGAATTTAAAAAAAAAAAAGCAATATATGCCAAAACCGGTTTGGCTCAGTGGTAGAGCGTCGGTCTGTGGACTGAAAGGTCCCAGGTTCGATTCCGGTCAGGGGCATAACGTTGGTTGCAGGCACATTCCCGGTAGGGGGTGTGCAAGAGGCAGCTGGTCGATGTTTCTCTCTCATATACATTTCTAGCTCTCTATCTCTCTCCCTTCCTCTCTGTAAAAAATCAATAAAATATATATATTTTTTAAAAAGCAATATATGCTTATTATTAAAAAGAAAATTTAAATGGTACAAAATGTATATCAAGTTAAAAATTGAAAATACCAGACTAGAAGAAAATTAGTATTAATCAACTTTTGTGTAGTCTTTCAAATTCTTTCTGTATATATTTATAAACATATGTGCTTATACCTGTTTTTCTTCTTTCATTTTCACTTTCCCCCTCTTTTATCTTCATTATTTCTCACATCTTTTTTTTTCTTAAACTAAAAATGGAGTCTTGTTCTTTGCTTCAAAGACATCTTTTTATGTCACTCTTCCTAGTTTTATTTTTATAACGATTGCATAATCTATAAGAATAGTATAAATTCCATATAATTAACCATCTCTCTAATAATAGACATTTAGGTGTTGCTGTTTTAAAATCTATTATGTATAGGCCTAAACAGAGTCTTTCTGCAAACATCTTGACATACTTGTATACATTTTTTTAAGGTATAGGCTAATGCAGTGGTTCTCAATCTTTCTAATGCTGTGACCCTTTAATACAGTTCCTCGTGTATTAATCAATCATATTGTAAATATCTGTTTTCTGATGGTCTTAGGCAACCCTGCTAGCAGTTCTCAACCTGTGGGCTACAACCCCACACAGGTTGAGAACCGCTGCAGTAGAGCCTAAGACTATCGGAAAACAGATATTTACATTACGATTCATTAACAATAGCAAAATTATAGTTATGAAGTAGCAACAAAAATAATTTTATGGTTGGGGTCACCACAACATGAGGAACTGTACTAAAGGGTCATGGCATTCGAAAGGTTGAGAACCACTGGGTTAATGGAAGTTGCATAGCTCTCCTTGAGGACTGAAAAAAGACATTAAAACTCTTTTTGATGACTTCTCCCTTTGGTGTTTGCATTTGCTAGAACCTAGGCTGAGCTAAGTGTCACCACCATAAAGCCTGAAAAGTGAGCTCTCTCTACCTTATAGATGAGAACAATTCCCAGAGTTGAGAACCTATTCTCTAAAAGGGGTAGGCAAAAGCCAGGATTAGAGTGATCTATAAGACAGGAGTGAATGTCTTAATATATATCTGAAATTTTAACCATAGTTTATTTTTTTCTAGATGGATAGTTATTGCTACCATTTCAGTATCAAGTGTTTTTCCATGTGCCTTGATGATTAATACAGCTGGGCTCTTAAAGCAGACAATTGATGAGATGATTTCCATGGGGGTTTATGCATTCAGGGCTCTATTAGTGATGAATAATGAAATCAGATATTTCATAATTAAGGCATCTTCTGATCAAGTGTAAAATACACTTAACATCAATCAGATTTACCATGCAAATAGTTTTATAATGATGAACCAGGAAGTTCATTACTATTGAGTTTTAACTCAATGTAGAATTTTGTGTGGTAAGATTTTAGGAATAAAAAAAAACAATTGAACTTACATGTCATAATGATTACTATTCTTTTGCTTAATTATTATTCTTAGCTAGGAATTGGATATTGGAAGGTTAAAGAAGACCTAAGTTGCTAATTAGAAAATTGTACTAAAATAGTACCTCAGACCAATGGACACAAAACTCTGGGGAGGGAGGGTATGTATAGTGGGGGTGGGGGACAAAGGTAAGATATGTACACAGACAATAATTTAATTTAAAAAATAAGGGGGGAAAATAAAATTATATAGAGGACTAAAAAAATAAATAAATAAATAATAGTACTTCAGGAAAGTCCTTGATATAGGAATATAATGAAAGCAAACTTCAGGTTAGTTCTGGAGTATGGAAATCCTTTCAGCACTATTGGAAACCTTCCAGTAAATGTTTATTGAAAACCTCCCAGCTGCCAACACAGTATTATATGATAATACTAGAGGCCTGGTGCATGAAATTCATGCATGGGGAATGTAGCCATCTTGACTGGGTTAATTTGCATACTTTCTCCTGATTGGCTGGTGGGTGTGGCTGCTGGTATAGCAGAGTGGTTAATTTGCATAGTGATCTTTTATTAGATAGGATAACAATGAATAAGAAAAAAAGTATCCCAGACTTTGAGTAGAGAGACAGTTGATTTAATAAGAAAATTTTATAAACATTGATAATAATGTATGTGTAAAGTGCTATAGATATACAGAATGGAGACTCCTAACCTACCTTTGAGGGTTCAGAAAGTTTCCCAAAGGAAGAATATCTAAGCTAAGGTCTAATGGATGAGAGATAGCAGAAAAGTGTGAAAGGAAGAGTAAGCAAGAAAACATGCTACCTTTTCAGTTTTAAAAAAAAATATTCAGCTCTAACCAATTTGACTCAGTGGATAGAGCATTAGTCCATGGACTGAACAGTCTAAGTTTCAATTCTGGTCAAGGACACATATCTTGGTTGCAGGCTCGATCCCCAGCCCTAGTCAGGGCGCATGTGATAGGCAACCAATCCATGTGCCTTTCTCACATCAATGTTTCTCTGTGTGTCTCTCCCTCTCCCTTCCACTTCTTCTAAAAATCAATGGGAAAATATCCTCATGTGAGGATTAACAATAATAATAATAACAACAATAATAATAATGTTCAGAATGGATATCACAAAGTTAGAAGAGGGGGATATTACAGAATAGCAAGAGTTATGGGTAGAATAAGCAGTCAAGTTCATGATAGTCCTTGTAAGCCATGTTTAAGACTTGGGCTTTTCTGTAAAGTAATTGGAAATTCAGTAATTGTAAGCAGGGGAGAAGTGTGACTAGATATGTGTTTTAGAATAATTAGATATGTGTTTTAGCAATTATTCTAAACTAATATCTAATCACTGTACTCTCCTGAGTGGAAGGGAAAGGGAGAGAGAAACCTTGATGTGAGAAACACACATTGATTGGGTGCTTCCCGAGTTCCAAATAGAGACAAGAGTAAAAGCCTGTACTCTCTTTGTATCTCGGTTGGATTTTGCTGGCTATTCAAGGAATGCTGCTACTGCCTTATGGTTTCATAGCATCTGTTATAAAAGCAATTCCTTCAGTATTTGCCTACATCCCTAGGGTCCTTGAAAACTGATGGGGTGATGGATGCAGGGAAGGTCGGGAAACAGATGTCATTTGTCTAGCTCTTACATTTTTCTGTGGGCACTCAGGTTAATGTCTTCCTTTAGACAGCCCCACGCCTTACAAATTAATGCATGCAGATTGCCTGGTCTATGCCTCCCATTAATTTAACATCCATGTCTTGATATGCTCAAATTCAGAATAAGTCTAAATTGTGACAAAATGAAAAGAAATACCTTTTCGTGTTCACCTTTATTGACAAATGAATACTTAAAAATACAAGTACAGGGTGGGGCAAAAGTGGGTTTATAGTTTTTCGTATGGAAAATAATACAGGCCCTAACCGGTTTGGCTCAGTGGATAGTGATAGTAAGAAAGATTACAATTAAGTAGATTAATGCAGGAAGAGAAATTACGGTTTCATGATGCAGATTATCAGGGGAGTGAAAGTCTGAATGATTAGCAAAGAGAATCAGGTGACTATAAAATGCTTATTCCTATGCGAAAGTTTTGTATTTTTCTGTGCTCTGTCTTCTGAAATTATGCTAGCAGCATAAAAGATTCTTGACTTTGTCAAATAGTGGTCACATAAATGTTAAAGATCTTCTAATTTCTTGTATATTGAGAAACAAATGGAAAAGGAACAAAGCTAAAAACAAGCAGTTGCCTTTTTAAATTCCCTAGAAAGAGATACCGGTAATAGAAAAGAAGATGAAGAAAACAAAAGACATTTTTAAAACTACCTAAATGTTCTCACAAGCCAGAAAAATTATATGCCAAGATGCCTTTTCTTTTCTTTTCTTTTTTTTCTTTTCTTTTTTCTTTCCTTTTCTTTCCTTTTCTTTTCTAAGATGCCATTTCTTGATGAAACATTTTTAAATAACATTTATACTTGTTAATATGTTTATTGGGAAGAGTTTGGTAAACTGTAGGTATTGTGTTCAATTTAATAATTCATGAAAAGCATTTACCTGTAGTAGATTAGAAAATTCTAATGTATATGTATGTAGTTAGGGTAAGTATTATTATATGAATATAGATGTGTCCTGGGTCATAGTGCAAAATATATTTTTAACTTTAGTTTTTTATTAAAACTGTCTGAAAAATTCGGATAAATTGAGAATATGCAGTAAAAAAAACAGAGGACAAAATATAAATCACCCATGCTCTCACCACTGTGAAATAGCCATTGTTAACATTTTGGTATTTAACCTTCTTATGTTTTCTGCTTATTAATTACACAAATTAATACTTTTTAAACAGTTTCTAGCTTTGGTAGTTATCAAGGTGGAGCATCCCTAAAACAACCAAGAAGAGAGAGCCTCCCTAGCATCATTCTGTTTATGTGACCCAGGTGTGGCAGATCATCTGTTTTCATTTGGAGGCACCACAGGAGATGCGCTGGTGTTGGTGTGCCACAAGAGGCACACTCGTGGGCTGCAAGAATTTTTGAAACATGCAATAGATGATGTTTAATCAGAGGCACCTCTTTTCCTTTAGATTATCAAATAAATAAAAAAATGACAGTAGCCAACACTACAATAGCAATCCTGTGTGAATTAATCAAAATTATACCCATTTTTTGCAAAATGGCAAAAATATATATTTTGTTGTGCTGCAGAATTTTAGTAATTAGTCTGTGTGTGCCATGAGATGAAAAAGGTTGAAAAAGCATTTGTCGGTGATGTGGAGTTTTTACATGTTGTCTTTTAAGTTTTACAGAGGAGTGTTCACAAATGCAGTTAGGTGTTCTAATCCTCTAACAAAACGATGATTTGTTAAGTGTTCTTACTGTCTTTTATGTGATTTTCCTGTTTCTTATCCTAGTTAGTAAGTTTAGGCAGGGTTGTTTCGATGTTCATAAAATTACAAATAGCTTTGTCTTTATAATTATAAATAAATGTTTTTACATTTTCCCTCCTCCCAATGGTTTGTTTGGTTGTGTTTTTTTTTGGCGGGGTGGTGTTTGTGGCTTCTCTGTTGGATATCTTTGTGATTTTAAATAGTAATACTAGTGAGCATCTTGTAACTTCTTTCTTTGTATAATTATTAAATTGTACCTTTATCTTTTCTTTACGTTCTATTCCCTCTTCGTATCTAATCTCTTCTTTTATTTTTATGTAGTCAAGATTGAAATTAGTTTTGAATTTTTTATTCATTTCCTAACAAGACTTCTGACTTTTTAAATTGGTTATTGGGTGAGAGATAATACATAGTCTATCTACTATGTTGAAGCCACTGGTTTTCATTTGAGTACATTAGCATGTAAGGCAGTTCTCATACTATAAATATATAAAAAGTTTACTATATATTTTAAATAAGAGAGTAAATAAGTTGATTCCTAAAAAGATACTTGCAAGTTTTGAAGTTCTTTATGATGTTTTACTTTGTAGGTACGGAAAACTTTTTTCACCTTAGCCTTTTGTGACTTTTGTCGAAAGCTGCTTTTCCAGGGTTTCCGCTGTCAAACATGTGGTTATAAATTTCACCAGCGTTGTAGTACAGAGGTTCCACTGATGTGTGTTAATTATGACCAACTTGAGTAAGTAATCAAAAAGATTTCTATCTACCATTTTACATTTAATTTTTCTGAATGTGAAACTAGTATGTCTTAGAGTCTGTGGGAATTTTTTGTCCAATAGAGAGTTGTTACAGGGAATTTTCTTTAAGTGTAGCTGGAGAGTAGTATGTAGTATATCCTGTATTTTACTCCAAAATTGTACTTTTGGTTCAGCTACACATTTCATTTATGTTTTATATTCCCTTTCAATTAACAAAGATCCTTTACCCATAGAAATCACTTATAGTTTTGAGGAGGAGAGCAGTTTCAATTAACTTAACCATTATATTTTTGGACCACAGATCAAGGGATCTGATCCTATCAGCTATTTTGTAAATTCTGTTTCTCTATTTCTATATCTCCACCTCCTTTAACCCCACCTGCACCCCTAATTTATTTAACAGTAAGATATAAAATTTTTATACCTAGTGTATCTTTTTCTAAAATTTTTATTTGCTTTTTATGCTAGAGTTTCTCTAACAAATTAGACAATCTCTTTTAATCTTTTTGTGTGTTGTAGTTGCTGCTGCTGTTAAGGTGTTACTAATTTTTATGATCACTTGAGCAAATTGAATTCAACTCTGTATTTTAAAGCATATTATAATGATATAATCTGACTGCAATAGTTACATTTTTTTCTAATTCCTTAACATAGAGCATGATTTTTCCCTTCTGATGTGTAGAAATTTGCTGTATACAACAATTACTTTCAGATTCTGAGCTTACCTTTTAAAATACGATTTAATTTTTAAAAATAAGCCAAAAACACAACTAATTGAATTTAACAACCATTTCTAAAAATGGAATTTGATCTCCAATATTTCTGTTAAGTCTATAATGTATTCTGATGTATGAAGCTTCTGGGTTTTGCACAAGTTAGGTTTGTTTTGTTTTGTTTTTGTTTTTGCCTCACAGTTTGCTGTTTGTCTCCAAGTTTTTTGAACACCACCCAATACCACAGGAGGAGACCTCCTTTGCAGAGACTACCCTTACGTCTGGATCATCCCCTTCCACACACTCCTCCGACTCTTTTGGGTATGATTTGACTCCTGCTGTTCAAGTGGCATGCTATTTGAGCTGGTTTCTTTTGGCTCTTTAGTTTACTATAAACTTCTTCAACATCTGGATTGTAATAAACTTATTACACTAGTCAGGTACTTAATACATACATTTGGTATAGATACACGGGGTTTAGAGTCCCTGCTTTGTGCTCATCACTTTATTGGATAATATCAGATATAGAAGTACTGGTACATGACTTCCATTTAGAAACCTAGCATTAACATATGAGACATTGGCAAACAATAAAAATTAACCTGCTATAATTAAAATCTATAGTTTATGGCACAGTATTTAAAACTGTGTGATAAGGAAAAATATTTTTTGTTTACAGGAGAAAAGGACAGTGAGAGAGAGTAGTCAAGATAATTTAATGAAGAAAGTGAGATTTAAATTGAAGAATTCTAAAGTCTGAATTAGCTGGAGAACAAACGCCTGGTGATTGGGATGCAGGAAGTGGGGCCGGGGTGAGGGTGTGGGAATTAGAAATTGCATAAATAAAGGAAATAGCAGTGGTATATTTAGGAGATAGTGAAGAGAGCCTAATCTAAGTCAAGAAGTGTGTGTAAAACTAGATTAGAGAGTCCCGGAATTTAGGTTGGAATTTGCACGTAAGAAGGTAAGAAAGAATTAAGGTTTTTTGAGCAAAGGACTAACCTGATCAAAGTGGTTTTAAAGAAAGAATCACTTAATAGTGATATACAGATAAATTGGTAGAGAAGTGTCTATTGTAAAGAAGGCCAGCTAGGATGCTGGTCGTGAAGACAGTGAGAAGCAATGAAGACAAACTGAAGTGGTAGTAGCATACAGAAGGAATGAATATTCATAATATGTAAAAGAAAAATTAATACTATTAATTAGTTGTGGAGGATAAAGAGGTACATAGTCATCCACATATTCAAGTTTCTTACTAGGGGAAAAAAGAGATGATGATGAGTTTAGAAGATGTTGGTTTACTTTGAAGCATTTCTTACACAGGTCTTTTTACTCTTTCCCTATGGGATTTGAGGAAGTATAAATTATATCTGGAAGCCTACAGTGAAACAATAAAGTCTCCACACAGCATTCTGTTCTAGACTATTCTAGAGATAATTAATTAAGATCAGAAATACTTATTGTCAGTTTTAACCTTATTTATTCTCTTCATAATGTAATGCTATTTCTTCTATCCAGAGACATTTAATAATAATAATAATAATAATAATAATAATATGACACTCTCAATAGGCCTATAATGTTTATGAAGCCAATCTTTCTGGATATGTAATAGGCTAGAAATTTTAGCAAAAAAAAACTTTTGTATTAAGGAATGGGTGTATTTCCTTATTTTGGACCACATAGAAAATGCAACCATTATGTTCTCTTGACATGTTGTAACAGTCATCTTATACCTGCTGTTTCCATCATTTGTATACAACTATATATATTTTTAGGAGAGCAAATCAAAATGTTATTGTTTTGATTTTTAATTAATCCTTTAACTATAACATTTACTTCTGACAGGTTATATAGACTGTGATGCCTTTCTTTCTAATGTCACATCCCAGTTCTGTGAACAGAGTTACAGAATATCATAATGAAATTAGCTTGGCCTCTCTGAAAGTTATTAATGGTAAAGATCAGGACATTTGCTTACCAGTGATGGAAATGCTAGCTTTAAGTTAAGAAATCACTTGCCTATGCCATAGGTACTTTATTCATAGTAATCTGAAGTAGATTCTGGTCTTGAGCAAATTTTGGGGAAGATGTTTAAACTTTTATTTTCCTGATGCTTTTCTCTTACAAGTGTATAGGGATAGTTTGAAAAGGTAGATGCCAATTCAGTTCTATATCAGAATTTCTTTGCATTTTGTTAACTCTGGTAACAATCATGATGGTCATGAAACACGTATAAAAATAGATGTAACCAAGACATTGGAGAAGTGATACATTGCCCAATTTGGATAAGAAATTAGAGGCGCCCACTTTTCTACTTTTAAAAAATTCTTTGGAATGTATATATCATTGAAAAGGCAGCATTTTAAAAGTTGCATATCACTGAACAGAGGTAGTCACTGCCTCAAAATTTTTAATATTCAAGATTAAAATGAGACCTAAACTAACTGGTAATTTACTGAAAAGTGTTAAATGTAAAAACATAAATATAGTTTTTTATTTGGTACTACTTTAAAGAGGTTTGCAGCAAGATTAAGGTAGACATATCATGAGGTGAAAGCCAGTTTGCCAACTGCCAACATACTTTATATGGTATAAATTGCCTTGGTTTTAGTAAAGAATAGCTATCATGGAAATTCAGTTTTATCAATTCTGAAAAATGATGAGAGTTAGGGATATATTGGTTTATATTAACCAGAATCAGAAAACACTAATTTAGAATGCTAGGTAATTCATTTTAGCTAGAAATAGACCTGTTGTGTAGCCCAAATTAATTATGTTGGATGGACCAACACACACTCTACTTTGAAAGATACTTATGTGAAACCAAATCATAATCAAAAGATTGTTTTTGTGATTGTTTTGTGAACCATGAATTAGGACATGGTTCAGATGTTTGTGACATCAAGATACAATAACTTGAGTGTTCTCCCAAATTATAATATACTTGCCTTCAAAGCTAGATAAATTGACTTTGTGGAATAGCGCATATCATTCCCTGAATGGTGTTACATACCTATTGGAAAATTATATTCTTCTGGGCTTTATGTAATAAGTAGATATCCTTTTTGTCTATTATATTCATTTTTTCTTTAGATATAATAAAACTTACCAAATTAAATCCAGGATTTGTTTTTTTCTTAATATATTTTATTAATTTTTTACAGAGAAGAAGAGTGAGGGATAGAGACTTAGAAACACCGATGAGAGAGAAACATCAATCAGCTGCCTCTTGCACATCCCCTCCTGGGGATGTGCCCGCAACCAATGTACATGCCCTTGACCGGAATCAAACCCAGGACCTTTCAGTCCGCAGTCCGAAGCTCTATCCACTGAGCCAAACCAGTTTCGGGGAGGATTTGTCTTTCTTACTTCTGGACTAATGTTCTTTGCATACATATTTCTAATTTGATATATGTTACATATTGCTGTCTTAATTCACTAAGTTTCAAAAATGAGTTGCTGTTGCCGGGACCGGTTTGGCTTAATGGATAGAGCGTTGGCTTGGGGACTGAAGGGTCCCGGGTTCGATTCCGGTCAAGGGCATGTACCTTGGCTGCGGGCAGATCCCCAGTAGGGGGTGTGCAAGAGGCAGCTGATCGATGACTCTCTCTCATCGATGTTTCTAACTCTCTATCTCTCTCCCTTCCTCTCTGTACAAAAATCAATAAAATATATATTTTTTTAAAAAAAGAATGAGTTGCTGTCACTTTGATGTCATAAAATCAGTTATATTAATTAGACTATCTTGTAATTAATTCGGGCTTTTTCTGTTTTCAAGACCTACCTTAAAGTATGCTATTGTCTTGAGACTTCAAATCAGCCTATATAAAATAGCTTTAAAAAATCTGCACTTTCCCAAACTTTAAAAAAAAAACAAAAAAAAAAACACTAATATTGTCATTTTACATTATTTTAGCTGCTTCCAAAATCTTTTATCATAGAGTGTACATTTGGCTGCCTAAAGCAAAAGTAAAGACAGCTCTGTCACAAACTAAAAGTTTCTTAACAGAATTAAGAGACCAGTGGAGCATGCTAATTTTCCTAAATGCCAGTTTTATCAGTCTTTACCTATAATTCTCATTAGGCTAATACCAATTTTTTAAAGTACATAGCATTTTATTACTTTTGTGTTATTCTGTATAGGTTCATTTAGTTAATATGAATAAACAAAGTATGTATTTCTTTCCCTACCCTTAATAGTGTGCTTCAGAGAAGTAAACTATAAGTTGTTATGATTTAGATTCTGTTAACATGCTCTGTTCTTAAGATTTTTGTCACTATTTGGCTTCTTTGTTTCTTCAAACCTTTATTTCTTTTCTATTTTATGTCTTTCTTTCCTATTCTTCTTTAAACCCTCTCCCCTCACAAAATATCTTTTTATCTTCACAACATTGTCTTTCTGGCTATGTTGTAACCACTAAATAATAAATACAGAGTTTGCATAAGATGAGGTAAAATGATAACCAGTCTGAAGAGAGGCTGTTAGAACTGAGTCATTCATTGGTCCTGACGGAGCTCACGTTATCTTCCAAGGGATCCTCATTTCCCAGCCCTCTTTCTGAGGGGCAGACTCTTCACTGCTATTACAGTCTGTCAGATATTTAGTGTGCTCTGTGATTTATTTGGGGGACAGTGCTGAGAGAGACCTTTTTATCTGCAGTAACAGAATATAGACCTTTCTGTAACCTATTTTCCTGGCTTCATCAGAAAACGATTTTTATAAATATTTGCTTTAGTGCTTAATGTATATGATTCTTACATGTCTCTTATGTCAGTTCTTGGGTATAGTACTAGTAAATATTCCAAAACATAGAAGACTGACACTGTAAGAATCAGGATCAGCTTTTGAATTTGGAAATGATCATTTGCTGTTGTTTGGGATTTTAATTTACCTCTTGGATAAAGTAACAGGTAATATCTTTCAGGTCCTGAAATACACATGCAAATTCTCAAAATACTTATAATTGCCTAATATTTTCCATTTTAAAAAAAATGTCATTTTAGTGACTTTGCTGTCAAGGAATGGAAAAAGTTTAAAAAAAAAAAAAAAAGGCAGATTTTATTCACTCAGTCTCTTCCTAGAGCAGGGGTGGGGGGCTATTTGGATATTTATAACATCATTCCCAGGCCATACAAAATTACCAACTTAAAAATTAACCTGCTATATTTGATTAAGCATTTAATGAACTCACCCTAATGTCTTAGCAAGGCTAGACCAATCTTTCATTTCTTGTATGGCCCACCACACAGACCAGATGTTCCCTACCCCCTGACCTAGCACAATCTTGTGTAACTTTAAAAGACAAGAGTTTCTTCAGCTGACTAACCATAGATAATTTTTAGCCATTTGTAGGTTTCCCTGGAGAGTTTTCTGGATAAGAATCAATGTTATCATTGATAGTCCCTGGAGGTAATAGTTGTAGGCATATTAGTTTTTTAAACTAATACTTTTAAAACCTATTCCTGCTGGGTTATTAATGCTTTATTTTAGCAATTTTATTTGAGAATTTGAAAACAACGAAATCTTTATATCATCCATTTTTTTAATGTTACTATCTCTATAAAGTTGCTCTGAATCTTATCTTCGATTGACTTGATTTTTCCAGGCCCCAAATGCTCACCAGTCCGTCTCCTTCAAAATCCATTCCAATTCCACAGCCTTTCCGACCAGCAGATGAAGATCATCGAAATCAGTTTGGACAACGAGATCGGTCCTCATCGGCTCCCAATGTGCATATAAACACAATAGAACCTGTCAATATTGATGTAAGTATCCAGCATTGTTAGGACTGAAGTGATAGACTTTTATGAATTACAGATCAGAAAAGCCTTGCCATCTTCTCTGATGGCATTAAATGCTTAACTAGTACCAAGTTACAGGCTTATTTTGATTTTTCCCCCTTAAGATACCATCTGTAAAAGTCCTATTTTCATTTATTTAACAGATAATCCACTTGGCCATTTTATGATAAAGAAAAAAATAAGAATGCAGTTGTAGGTTTTTTTCATTAAATCAATTTGAAATCTTTACTTAAATTTTTATAATTTTGTGTTAAATAATCCTTAAAAACTAATATTGCTTTATGTATTTGATATGTAAAGCTACCTTATCTTTTTTACTTTATTGAGTATACCATTATATTCTGTTTCTATACACATCTTGATTTGGGTATTTCTTTTAATGTAAAGTTTGTCGTTAAATTTTAATCATTCATTGTTTAAAATGCATCTTCTCTGGTCTCATCATCATATATTGTAACCTCACCTCTTCAGTTATTTTGGCCACCATCTGGCTGGTCACTCTTGACATTTTTACTTTCCTAGCTTATCTTGCACACTGTAATTTAACTATATACATTAGTGTCGACTCTTCAATTAGATCTTAACTTCTGGACAGCAGAAACAATTCCTAATATAGTTCCTTTGGCACCTATCTTAGAACTAAATACATAATAAGTCCTCAAAAATATTTGTTTCAGTAAAAGATTTAGAAAATAAGGCAGAGGAAATTCCCTATAATATAGATCAGGAGGTCAACAAACTTTTCCCTAAAGGTCCAGATAGTAAATATTTTAGACTTGTGGACCATATGATTTCTAATGACAGCTGTTGAACTCTGCCATTATAGTGTGAAAGCAGCCATAGAGAGTGCATTTTAAACAAATGGATGTAGCTGTATTCTACTAAAATTTTATTTATAAGAATAGGTGGTCAATTAATTATATTTTGCCAGTCCCTGATATAGACAAAGAGAGGGAGAGAAGAGAAAAAAGATGAAACACAAAGGATCCATCCAGTAGGACTGATTCATTTAATTGGTCATCCCAATAACTGAGTTACACAGAATAGGATAAAGTGCCCTTGCCGTCTGAGCTGTGTTGGGTTGGGACCCTTGGAATAATCTTGGAATTAGATATTATGTTCTTCAGAACTTGTGCTTTAGAATAAAGAGGATAGATTAACCATAACCTCTGTAATAAATATTGAAACAGAAAATCCACAAGATTGATTTTGTTTGTTTATGTGTTTTTTTTGCTTTGGAAAGTAATTATATTTAAAAAGGAAATTGGAAACTGTGTAAACAGGGTACTGGAGTTAATGAGGTGGTTATATGTGTTAGAAGTCAGGTTGTTCTCATTATACAGGCATTACTTATATGAGCCCTCATAATTACAAGGTGGAATAGAGAAGCAAAAATTGTCGTAACAGAAAAATATATTAGTCTCCACTCAGACATCCCTTGCCATTTAATATCAGCCTGCATCCCAACCCCTTTATATTAATATCCAACATTTCAATGAAAACATAATGCGAACTTATTGCAAATCTGGCACACACAAAAAAAGATTTTAAGGATTTTATAAAGACTGTAAAAAGTGACTGGAGAACTACTCAAACCATATAAAGCCATTGACAAATACATAGAATTAAGTTAGTCTAGGTAATGACAGAAAACACAAAATTCATAAGGATGACAATATAATAGGCTCTTCAAATTAAAATTATTTCAATATCAAAGGATTGCCCTATCTGGTTTGGCTCAGTGACTAGAGTGTTGGCCTGTGGTCTGAAGGGTTCCAGGTTTGATTCCAGTCAAGGGCATATGCCTGGGTCGCAGGCTCAATCCCCAGAGTGGAGTGTGCAGGAGGCAGCTGATCAATGATTCTCTCTCATCACTGATGTTCCTCTCCCTCTTCCTCTCTGAAATCAATAAAAATATACATATTAAATATCAGAGGATTGAAAGAGGCCCTTATGGGGTGGGGGCACAGGGAATGATTGGGGGGGGGGGGTTTAAAAGATCAACCAAAGGACTTGTATGCATGCATATGCGCATAACCAATGAACAAAAGACAGTAGGGGCGGTGAGGGCATGTGCAGGGGAGGTGGTAGCAGCTGGGAGAGGTCAGTGGGGGACAAGGAGACTTATGTAATACTTTAAACAGTAAAGAATTTAAATTTAAAAAAGAAAGAGGCCCTTGAAGGGTAGAGTCCCCTAAAATTATTTTTAAATATATTCTTATTGATTTCAGAGAGGAAAGGAGAAGGAGAGAGAGATAGAAAGAAACATCAGTGATGAAAGAATCCTGCCTCCTGCCGGGATTGAGGCCAAAATCCAGGCACGTGCCCTGAAGGAGAATCTGAGACCTCCAGGTTGACCTATTGACCTGGTTCATAGGTCAACACTCAGCCACTGACCCACATTGGCCAGGCTAAAAGTTTTATTTAAATGACTATTATTGTGGTGTAAAAGATGAACTTGAAATTAAGAATTTTAATTTGTACTATCATATAAGTTTGATATTATGACCAATAAAAACTTTATTCTTGCCGAAACCGGTTTGGCTCAATGGATAGAGCGCCTGCGGACTCAAGGGTCCCAGGTTCGATTCCAGTCAAGGGCATGTACATTGGCTGCGGGCACATCCCCAGTAGGGGGTGTGCAAAAGGCAGCTGATCGATGTTTGTCTCCCATCGATGTTTCTAACTCTCTCCTTTCCTCTCTGTAAACAATCAATAAAAAAAGGGGGGGGGACGACTTTATTCTTTCTCTGTTTATTCTAAGAATTAGCATATTTTTTAAAATTATAACAATGTAAAAAAAATAAACCTTATTATAAATTTTAATTTTATTTTTAAAGAAAAATTTCCGAATCAGACTTTCTTCCCACTTTTTACTATGAATTTTTTTGTCTTTTTATTGGATTCATTTTAAGTGACTTTTTATAATACTAATTTCCTCAACTAATAAGGTTTTCCTCGATCTAGTTAGATTTGAATACAAAGGAAGAAAAATGTAGGAGAAGGGAATATGGGAATAAACAGATAGTGAAATAAGAAAACATCTTATTTATAGGTTATGTTTGTTCTCAGAAACTCAAAATTGTAACCTTCATCTATTGTAACCTTCACCTTACAAAACAAACATTCTTTAGATCAGCCGCTTTTAGTCTTTTCACCTCATGACATTCAGAAGCTAATTACTAAAAATCTATGGCACACCAAAAAATACATTTTTTTGCTAGTCTGACAAAAATACAGATATAATTTTGATCAATTCGTACCAGATGGCTATTGTGTTGCTATTGTCATTTTTTTCATTTGACAATCTAAGGAAAAGAGGTCAGTATTTTGACTAATCATTTGTAACATGTTTTATTTCTTTATTTTTTAAATTGTTTTGGAGGAGGGAGAGAGTTAGAAACATCAATGATGAGAGAAAATCAGTAATTGGCTGTTTCATGCATGCCCCCTACTGGGGATTGAGCCCGCAACCTAGGCATGTGTCCTTGACGAAAATTGAACCTTGGACCCTTCAGTCCACAGACTGATGCTCTATTCACTGAGCCAAACCAGTTAGGGCAAGTATAGCATATTTTAAAAGTTCTTGTGGACACACTGGTTGAAAATTGCTGGTTTAGGCCATTTTGCTTTATCTCTAATTGTCACCACTATTCTGTTCTCTTAGGCTTGAGCATTTGGAGTGTCATCTTTATATTTTGCATTTTCATCCTCCCCTAAGATTAGTCATAATCTATCACTTTTTCCTTTCGACATGCATCCCAGATTTCTTCTTACTGCCACCACCATTTGGACCTGTATTTATATTTCATTTGAACTACTTACTTTACTACATTACTCTCCTAAGTGGACTTCCTGGCATTGATTTCTCTCTCTCCATTCCGTTCTTTATGCTACCACCATATTAATTTTTTACACCTTTATCATTATCTCTTCCTTTGTTCCAAAACTATCATTGGCTTCCCATTGATTGCAAGATGAAATGTAAACCCTTTAGCATTTTCATTCATTGTCAATCATTTCACTCAGTTTCAGTCATTATTTACCATTTATTTTTCCTTTGCCCTCAGCGGAGTCAATCTAATGTATGAATTATATGTAAATAAATAATCACAAAAATATATAATGATAGTTTATTGAAGAGGGTAATAAACTTTACCTGGTTGGATCTAGCAATATTTAGCAGATATGAACAACATTTAAGCCTGGTTGTAAAAGATGAAAGAGTAGGAGTTCATTCAATACACTAGTTGGGGTTTTAGGAAGAAAGGGCATTTGTTAAGGAAATAGTATATGCAAAAGTATGAGAGTATCTTTGCATAGAAAGTTAGTGAGACCCCTCCAGGATTTATATTTATTGGTAGCCACACAACACCTTGTTTGCAGATCTATGAGTATTTGTTGATAATTCTGTAGAAAATGTTGAAGGCTTTATAGGATACATTGAACATGGTAGAAATACTTTTGCAAAGAACTTACTCTTTGTTCTTGCCCATAAACAAAAAGCTGCCTATTTGCAAAGACCCTCTAAGCCTAATTAGAGACATTTGGGACCATTCATTTCCTCACATTTAAATTATATTGAGCAAACACATTAATCTAAGTTCTGTCTATTAATATCCAAATTGCACTGTGCTGCCAGAAGACTCTTCCCCTCATTTCCAACATTGTGGAGAAAAAAAACACTATATCTTGATAATGACAGATTTTAACAAAATTCTTGTTTGAGCCATTTTTATTTTTGTCCATTTAGTGTGTCTTTACGCATCATATTTTTATTACTGTAATCATTGTATATTTTTTATTGTTTTTATATTGTAAACATTTCATGATTCAATCTTTATAATTATTTTAGTAGCTGCATAATACTCATTAAATTTATACACCATAATTTACTGAGCCAATATGTCAAAAAGCCTAGAAGAGGGAAATAATTATTTCTAATTTTTTAGTTTGGTGAATAATGCTGCACTAAACATCTTTGTGCATATCACTTTTTTCTTCTGAATTATTTCCTTAGGAAAAATTCCCAGAAGTGGAATTACAGGATCAAAGGGTATGAACATTTTTATGGCTCTTAATATGTGCCAGTAGAATTTTTATAAGAATTGATGCAGCCATTGGTTTTGAATGGCCTGAAATGGATTTCAGCATTTAATCAGGACTAATAATCCCTTCAATATAGGATTAGGTTGCTTCAAATTTTTATTTTATCGTGTTTACTAGCTAATTTCATATTTTTTCTGTTTTGTGAAGTAATTATAAGACAGTTATTTTAAATTAACCTTTCTGTTCATGCTTAGTGAAAAATTCAGTGTTGTTATTACTTTCTTACCACGTGCTTTGAATAAAATATACATTACTATTTATTTGTAGGACTTGATTAGAGACCAAGGGTTTCGTAGTGATGGAGGTAAGTGGTGATTTCAGTTTTTTAAAACTCAAGGAAAAATGCAACTGCTTTGCTGCTTGTCTCCTTTATATTTGCTTCTTTCATGAAACACAGACACAGAGAAAAATGTGTAGAGAAAACCCAAATTATTTTGTCTCCTTTAGTATTTATCATTTATCTCTAATAAAATTTTAACTAACTTATAACATGAATAGAGAAAAAGTAGACATTAAAATGGTTCTTAAATGTACTACCTATAATTTTAAAAGGTTGTTAAGGAGAGATTCTTAGTTATTTTACCCACTTTATTGATTCCAAACCCTCTCCAAAGCTGTAGATGCAAATTTTCTTTTGGAAACCTCCACCAATATTTAAATATTAAGCTTAGGATCCATTAAAACTTGATTTTTCTAAATCGTTCTTGGGGAATCCCTTAGATTGTCTGTCACAACTTCTCAATTTGATAGATATTGTCACCTATTTCCCTCAGTCTTCTAAAAGGGTTTGAAATGTACATTTTACATAATGGATCCCTAATAAAGAAGCCTAGTTGCCCTTTTTTGTCCGGTAAATAAAATAAGCACCTGAGAAATTAAATTGAGATTTCTTACAGAATTTTTATCTGACTTTTCACTCTAGCACCCAGTAAAAATAGGGGGCATAAGAAAACATTGCATAAGAAAATTCTTTTTAAATAAGAATTTACCCCCACATAATGTTTTCCAAGAGATGGTATTTGAAACTATCTTCAAGTTTTCTTCTAGATGATTCCCCATATTTATTTTTCAGCTGTCTTCTGTCTAATAAGGAAGGCCTGCAATACCTGCTTAATCTTGTTTAGAGTTGGTCTCTTCATTGTGACCTGCTTTGTCTTCAAAATGTCTAAGCTCAGTCTCAAAGATATTTTATATGGAACATTGTATAAACCATCTTTTGTTGTGTTTCTGTGTACCTGTGAAGCTAACAAAGTAATAACCCTGCATTAACTACTCTAGATTTCATATTTATTATAGTATATAGTTATAAAAGTGTTTTCTGTTTGTTATTCCATGAACCCTCCAATTAATGTTGCTGCCAGTTTGACTTTCATATGTCTTAGTAGCTGTGGCTTTTGAAAATTTTGCCCAATACATCCAGCATTTAAATGTTGCCATCATTTGAGCATCACAAAGTTAACTTAGTCTTAAAAACTGCCTGCTTAGTACCTAAAATGAAGTGGCATCTCTTGTTCTTTTTTATGAGTCATTTTTTAAAAAAATCATTGGGATTTTGAAAAGTGTTTTAAACTTCCAGAATTATTTGTGAAGCAGGCTTCGACTCATTTATTCCCCATGACTTCTTTCATTTCTTCTGTGTGTCTGTCTTCCTGTGTTTGCCTGCCCCTCTCTTTCTCTTCTAACAGCCCCTTTGAACCAGCTGATGCGCTGTCTTCGGAAATACCAATCCCGGACTCCCAGTCCCCTCCTACATTCTGTCCCCAGTGAAATAGTGTTTGATTTTGAGCCTGGCCCAGTGTTCAGAGGTAGTTGGGCTCTTCTTTCTTGTTTTCACCCAAAGCAAACTAAGTATAAACTACAGCTACTGTTTGTGCCTCACCTTCACAGTGTGTGTTTGTAAGTGTGAGAGTTTTCAGTACTAAATTTCTGCTTGGCCTGGCTGGAATGCTCTGAATGTGCTTGTCACACATACTCACCACCACAAGCTTTCTGTCATAAATTTTAAAAGCAAGAAAAGTCTTAGATTTCCATCATGGTTTTTGTTACATTACCTTTTGGTCTTGGTAACTTCTTAAACTCAGTGGGTGGTAATAAATAACATGGGAGGGGGTGTCCTACTTGAATTTCTTGTATTTTAATCCATTTAGGTGGTCACCTTGATGATAGTGAATACTTGTTACCAATTTTTTTGGTTTCTAAAAAAGTAAAAATGGAAATCCCTGTTATGAGATTTTACTAGACTTTTGCCTTTGTTTTTTTTTTCTGTATTATCAGCAGTGTCATTTTTTAAATGTAGGACATGTATATCAGAGGTAGAGAGCTTTGAAAAGATTTTTAATATATTTGGGATATTTTAGCATACTTCAGAAAATTTGAGGATTGGTACTTTCAGATATGCCTTAATCTGAGAGAGAAAAAAAAAGCAGTATAATTTTAATGTCCCATTTTATTTTGCCATAACTTTAATTAGTAGTCAAACTGATTTTTTAAAAATAAAGTCAAAATTGAGACAGGAGTTTGCTATAAATAGTTTTAAAGAATTTAATGGCTTTTGTAATGTCTACCAGTTATTCTGAACATAGTGGTGGTGGTTCAGATTTTTGCTCTTAGCCCATCTGTTTCTCAGAAAATCCATAGAATGGGCTAGAAGTCATATAGGACCAAGTGGCATAATTTAAAAATATCAGTACAGTACTAAATAGATCAGAACTGGGAGGCCTGGGCAAACAGTTAAGGCTTTATGATGATGTAATTTAACAATTGAAGGTAGAAAATGGATTGTGTTCTAGTTAATAAACATTCTATTTTCTTTTAGAAATTTACAAATGAGATTATGGAAATTCCACATGGTAGCATGTGATATAATAATAAAATTTCTATACAGATTGAAATGTTGCCATTGGTATCCCTGTTTGAAAGATAGTGACTACCCCTTTCCAAAGAATAGTAATATTTAAAAAAAAAAAAAAATCTTGAAGTCTTTTTGTTCTGTATATGCAAATATTTTTTGATATCTCAGTGCTACTTAACTGTACTCAGGCCCCATTAGGAGTCATTGTCCTGAACTACTCTGAACAAGGTACTGTACATGAATTTAGAATTATTGTCACTGGGCCAGCATTTGGAAAAGTACCCATCAGAAAGTATGCCACCCTGCCAACTGAGTCCACTTTCAAAGAAAGCACCCAGTGGACTCAGTTGACTGATAGAATATTGCCATTTGTAGTAACTTGGCTGAGAGGCCATATCACTTACTTTGCTCTCACTTATAAAGACAGTCAGCGATTATTCAGAGAGCTTGAGAAACCTGCTGGCTTTGTTTTATTCAGGCAACAAATCATATTTGTTTATTAGACTAAGCCTTCAGGAACTGATGAAACTGTCCAGTGTCTCTCACTCTTAAGAAGTCTAGTATGTGGTATAGGATTTTTTTTTTTTAATATAGTGGCTAATATAAAGAAGCCAAATATTTTCAACATTATGGCGATTATTAGAATATGTTTCCATTTGGGGATTTCCATATTTTTTATATTGATAAATATTTGTTTGCTGGAGCAACAAAATAAAGTTTTTGGGGTTTTTTTTTATATACAGGCTGTTAAATTTTTGAATTTTTGCTTTTTGAATTTTTGAAGTCAAAGAAACAGAACATTGGGAATATTGTTTAGTATTTATCTCTTATTTTAGAGATAGTCTTTTTCTTAGAAAATGCACCAATAAGCAAAGTGTGTATCTATAATCAGATGTTTCAAGGGTCATTAAATTGGCCAGAAAACTAAAAGAAATTATAGTACTAATTACCAAATGAGGCTCCTTTTTGGCCTATCCTTTCTAAAAGTTCTATACTTGAACATGCTCTGTATTTTTTAAATAAGTCTAAATCTCCCCACACCCTCTACCCCCAATAAATAAACAAACTTGATCTTCCTTTAATGGATACATTTTTCCTTTCACTAACTTAGGGTCAACTACAGGTTTATCTGCCACCCCCCCTGCCTCATTACCTGGCTCACTCACTAATGTGAAAGCTTTACAGAAATCTCCAGGACCTCAGCGGGAAAGAAAATCATCTTCATCCTCAGAAGACAGGAATCGAATGGTAAAAGTATATGATATCTTCATTCTTCTATGTTCTTTATAGAAGTTAGAGCCAACTCTAATGTCACCTTTACATATCATGATATGCCCATATGTGACACAGAATTCCCATAATCAAATAAAATTAAGAGCTGATAAATGTTTGTGTAAAGCATATTTGCACAACACAGATTTATACTCTCAACTCTAATGCAATTAAAGGTAGTTTCAAAAGAGTAAGAATACAGTTGACCTTTGAAGAACAAGAATTTGAATTGCATGGATCTACTCACATGCTGGTGTGTGTGTTTTTTTGTTTTTGTTTTTGTTTTTGTTTTTAGTAAGTAAACAGTTGGCCCTCCATATCCCCAACTTTCGCATGATTGAAAGCAGTATTGGTTCTGGAACAAATCCCCAACAGATACCAAGAGACCATAATAGTGAAGTTTTGGGAGAAATCAAAAGTTATACACCAATTTTCTTTTTTTTCTCTTTTTAATATGGAATGCTTCGTAAATTGTGTGTCATCCATGTGCATCCTAATCTTCTCTGTATGGTTCCAATTTTTTAGTATATGTACTGCTGAAAGGAGCACTATACACCGATTTTCCACTGCTCTGGGAGTCAGTACCCTTAAGCTCCCCATTTTTGAGGGTCAACTGTAGTGTTCTTTTTAAAATAAGGAAAAAGGGGTAAGCCTAGTATTTTAGGAAGCATTAGTAGACATATATGTTCTAAAGCAGCGATCGCCAACCTTTTGGACCTCACGGACCAAAAGGTGACTATAAAAGGGCTTACCTGAAATTCAAATATTATACTTACCAAATGTTATTCTTTCCTATTTGAAAAAATAACTTTCTGCTGCACTATATTAAAAACTAACAATTTAATTTTAGCAATAGTGTAGTAATAGTACATGTTGGATAGGTGGATTCTCTACCCTACCAAAGTGATTGTATATGTTGACAGTTTTTTAAGAGACTGGATTAGATAAGATATATGAGGAAATTTAGCACTGACTAGAAGAAAGTAAGTAGGTAAATTATCAACAGTAACCATAGTATGTTAATTTAAAATTTTGACCTTTGGAAGCAAAACTAATCACAGATACTTATATTGCCTGTTAGTAGCCCTGAAAACTGATCTAGTTCTTCAATTTAAGTTCTGTATTACAAGAATCATATTTCTATTATTCTTCCAAAGTGTGTGTGTGTGTGTGTGTGTGTGTGTGTGTGTGTGTGTGTTTATGTCCCTTTCACACTCAGACACAGGAGAGAATGTACTTAGTGTAAAACAAGGTTTTCTCTTTTTTTGTTTGCTTTGGATTGACTTTTGCACTACTTTTATCAAGAAAACACTTGGTAGACGGGATTCAAGTGACGATTGGGAGATTCCTGATGGGCAGATCACAGTGGGACAAAGAATTGGTTCCGGGTCATTTGGGACAGTCTACAAGGGGAAGTGGCATGGTATGTATATAGTATGATGACCTTGTCACAAGTTATAATAATAGAAAATATCTAACATCTTTTATTTTTTTAAAATCAAAGGAAGTATTCACTTTTTGCATCATTAAACTTTTTTTTTTATCATATTCAAAAGTTACTAAAGATTTCTAACAAAACTTATGGAAAATTAAAAACTGGATTCATAGCAGTCAGGTCTTCTATCATTATATTACCTTTAGTTTTTAAAATGTATTTTTATTGATTTCAGAGAGGGAAGGAAGAGGAAGAGAAAGAAATATCAATGATGAGAGAGAATCATGGATCAGCTGCCTCCTGCACAACCCCCCTCAGGGATTGAGCCCACAACCCGGGCATGTGCCCTGACCAGGAATTGAACCATGACCTTCTGAGCCACACCAACTAGGCTTAATTACAGTTTTTAAAAATGATGATTCTTACTGGGCTGGCTTGGCTCAGTGGTTGATGTCATGATTTGATTCCCAGTCTGGGCATATGCCCAGGTGTGGGCTCAATCCCCAGTGTGGGTCATGCAGGAGGCAGCTGAAATGGACACATATGTTCACTCTTATCATTGATATTTCTCTCCCTCTCCCTTCCTCAGTGAAATCAATAAAAATATACTTTTAAAAAGATGATTTTCGCCGAAACCAGTTTGGCTCAATGGATAGAGCATCGGCTTGGGGACTGAAAGGTCCCAGGTTCGATTCTGGTCGGGGGCATGTACCTTGGTTGCAGGCACATCCTCAGTGGGGGGGGTGCAAGAGGCAGCTGATCGATGACTCTCTCTCATCGATGTTTCTAAACTCTCTATCTCTCTCCCTTCCTCTCTGTATAAAATCAATAAAATATATTAAAAAAAAAAAAAAAAAAGATGATTCTCCAGGGGAGCTAATCTCCAATATGTTTTTTTTTTCTTTGATAATTTTTCTGCTTATACTTTTATATATGTTATAAACTACAAGTATATTAAAAGTATATGTACAAAAGGAATAGGGTGAAAACATAAAAAAATGTTCAACCTCACTAGTTACCAGAATTGCAAAATCAAAAAATAGGAATCATTATTTGCCTCTCAAATGGACAAAGAATTTTTTTTTAATTGGTCATAGTTAGAGTTGTGAATATAATGCTGCTGATGGGGAAAAAAGAATTGCTACAAATTTTCTAAAGAGAAATTTGGCAATATGTATATCAAACCAATAATTCCATTTATAGAACTTTATAATGAGGAAGTAATTGGACAGGAACAAACAGATGTGTGTATAAGTACATTAATTAGAGATTTAACATTAATGAAAAATGGAAATAAATGTAAGTGCCCATTAATAGAGTATTATATAAATACATTGATAGCCTCAATGTATGATAATATAGAAATTAAAGTAGTATGGTAGATTTCTATTTATTGCTATGAAAAGGGTCTGTGTTACATTAAGTTTTACAGAGCAGCATGTAAAATATCCCATATTATAGTGCTACATAGAGGTATATAACAATTTTTAAAAGGATCATCAATATTTGAGTACATGTCTTTTTAGGTTATGTTTTCACATGAATTCATAAATATCTGTACTGATATATATAAAAGCCTAGTAGGATATACATCAACATATTAACAATGTTCATTTATGTATGATATGATTATGGGAAATATTTTTTCTTTGTTTTTTCAAAATGTTTAATTTTTTTACTATGAGCACTATTAATTTGATAATCAGGAAAAATAAGTTAATTATACTGAAGTATAATATACATAAAAGTGCATATAAGTGTTCAAGAAGCTGAAATATCACTAAGTGAATACATCTGTAGTCAATAAACATTACCAGCATTGTAGATGTCCTCCTAATGTCCTCCTCCCCCAAGGGCAACCACTATCCTGGTTTTAGCAGAAATCTAACAGCGTGTATTCTTTTGTGACTCATCCCTTTCACTCAACAATGTTTATAAGATTCATCTGCATTGTTGTGTGTAGTTGTAGATCATTCATGATTTATAAAACGATTCCTTTTTCTATGTACTATGTAATAAGAATTTTAATAGTTTCCAGTTTGGGCCTAATGCAAATGCTGCTGCTGTGAACATTTTTTAGTTCATTCATGTCATTTGTTGAACATATGTGTCCAGTTTTGCTGGCCATATACCTAGAAAAGAATTATGGGACCACTGTAAATGCATATATTCAGTTTTAGTAGATACTACCAGCAGTGTTTCAAGTAGTTATACCAATTTACACACCCACTGGCAGTGTGTGTGAGTTCTACCTGTTTCACATAAAGTTGTTGTTGTTGTTGTTGTTGTTTTTTAATAATTTACCTAAGCAAAGCAACAAGTGATCTATAGATTTGAGAAAAAGAAAATGTTAGGTACTCTAATAAGGAAATTTTGTAGTTTTCTATTTCAGCCTAGCTCCATTTGGCCTGTGATTTTTAGTTAACATTTAGTCAGTACATGTGTCTAATATAATATTGATAAATAACCTGGAAAATACCATAGGTACTTAGCTGGTTAAACTAAATTTCCAGATGAAAAACAAGGTTGGCTATCTTTTTTGGATTGGTATTTTGAAATATCAGTATAAGAGTATCATTATTTGTTTAGTGTTATCCTTAGAAAATTAATGCAATTAAAGAAGGTATTATATAATTTATTTCATAAGTTACCATAAAGCAGTTTAATAATGGTGTGGATTTAAGGCTGTGGTAATTCATGAAAATATACAAGTTTTTAATATTTTTAAATCTTAAAAAATAGAATGACATTTGGATTGACAATTACCTTTTAGGTGATGTGGCAGTGAAAATGTTGAATGTGACAGCACCTACACCTCAGCAGTTACAGGCCTTCAAAAATGAAGTAGGAGTACTCAGGTAAGTTAGTGTAGACTATTGTTTTCCAGAGACAGTATCTTTAAATCCTATTTTTCAATGGCTGCCGCTGTTTGCTCTATTTACTCAAAATGGATAAAAAGAATTTGAGTAGATTTTAACTTTAACCATATTCTTTTAAGTGTTATGCAATATTATATTGTATAGATGATAGGAGAATTAAGTTTAGAGTGGATTAATGGAAGTATTCTGATTATGAGAAATAATACTTCCACTTAAGTAAATAATACTCTCAAGATTCTAATCTTACCAGAACACATTTAGATATTACATCATGCCCTGGAAATTGAGGAACATTAACAAACTTCAGTATGTATAGATAAGGACACCTTAAGTGGGGGTGATTTTAGAACTGCAACCTAGGGAGGCAACGTAATCAACAGAACTGAGGAATTAAAGAATATGTCCATAGAAAGCTCTTATGTACCATAGAGTACAGACTCTTCTTCCAGAGAGCAGGACAGGGAAGCCAGTGGGGAAGTGATAGGAAAATGATTCTTTCTCAACTAAAAAAAAAAAAATCTAGAACTACTTAAAACAAAAGAACGGGAGAAATAGGCTTCAGCCTCAGTGATGAACTTTCCATAATTAAAGGTATTTAAGCAACATCTAGTTGCCTGTTTGATATATTAAAAAAGATAATTCTGAAAAGAATAGAATGTTAAAATAGACAATTACCTAAGTCTCTTCTAAATTTTTCCTCCTTCTGCCTTTTTAAAAATATCTTTTTTTCTGACAAAAATCTTACTGTTAAGTAGACTTCTTTAGCCTCTTTTTAAGCTTTGTTGAAGTTTATCGACATTTACTGTTTACTTTCACATTTCTTTTTATAGGAAAACTCGACATGTGAATATTCTACTCTTCATGGGCTATTCAACAAAGCCACAACTGGCTATTGTTACCCAGTGGTGTGAGGGCTCCAGCTTATATCACCATCTCCACATCATTGAGACCAAATTTGAGATGATCAAACTTATAGATATTGCACGGCAGACTGCACAGGGCATGGAGTAAGTTCCATTCTGTTAAATCTGTTGTAAATTACTTTTGATGATCATTGAGGGTGTTTTAAAGATTTCAGCTGATAATCTTTTGGCTTGCTTTTTAAATTACTGTCTAATAACATATAGACACTTTTAACTAATGTCTTGCAAATATGATACTAAGAAATAAAATAATCTGTTTTACAGTCTTCAAAACATACAAAGTATTTGATAATAAATATGTGACTGCAAATTTATGTTCTGCATGCAGTGATTTAGCTAAACAATAATGATTCAAAAAGTAAAAAGGCAAGTAAAAGACCAATAAAAATCATTAGCAGTTATAGAAGTATATAAAATAATTGTTATTTTTTCAAATTATTTTCTCCAAGTTCCCATATTTTCATTTGCATACAATAAAGTAAAATGAAAATCGATATTCTGGTTCTTTCTGAAGATTTCAAGATGAGTTGTTCATATCTACTGAATTATGCTCTGTAATTTAAAAGATAAAAAGTAATTTTACAAAATTTACCACAGGCCAGAATTTGAATCTATTCAAATCTGAAAAGTTATATTAAAATTTTTTTAGTAAATCATAGCAAATATAGTAAACATTGTGAGAAAAACAAAGCTTACTCCCCACTCCCACCTTCACCCCCCCTGCTCCAAGCACACGCCCTCCTCAGGGCCTTTGTACTTGTTATTTTCTCTTTGGTGTATTCATGCCACAAATATTCATGGAGCTTTCTCCCCATGTCTCTCCTCAAATGTCGCCTAATAATAAAAGCCTTCTCTGATTCTTTTACATCAGTGATTTTCAACCAGTGAGCCGATTTTGAACCATTGAGCTGCAAGAGATTTAAAACATTTAATACCAAAACATGCATTGACCTCTTTTCCTTTAGATTGTCAAGAAAAGAGAGTTCAGCCAACACAATAGCCATCCAATGTGAATAAATCAAAGTTATACCTTTATTTTTGTCAGATTGCAAAAAATGTATTTTTTTGGAGTGCCAAAGAATTTTAGTAATTAGTTTCTGTGTGCCATAAGATGAAAACAATTGAAAACCATTGCCTTATATAACTAACTAATGTTCCTACTCCACCCTGTCACTCTCTATACCACTATCTTTGTTTTTTAACACCCAACTCCATATGACATATTATGTTTATTGTCTGACACTCTCATTGGAATAGAAGCTGTATAGGAGCAGGGGCTTTGTTTTGTTCATTGTTTTATCCCTTATGCCTAAAACAGGGCCTGGCCTATGATAGGTGCTCAATATATATCTGTGAAATAAAAAAATTAAGAAGGATTTAACTGAGTAGTATTGTTCACCTTTTAGGAAAAAAAAAAAGAGAAAAAAAAAGCCAAATCCTTCTCATACCAAAATTAAGAAATGTCAAGGAAAGAAAAAATAGTCCACAAAGTAATAAAAGGATATCAGAGGGGAAAGGGCTTTTGCTATAAACCGAGGCAGCAAAGAATAGTAATAAGAATTATTTTTAGAAACAGTGATGGGGCAGTCAAATACCAGTATTGATTAAGACAAGAAATGCCAAATTGGAATAGTTCTGTAGTCTGGGGAATAGTCAGTGAATGGGGCAATATTTTTTCATTGCTTTCAGTTTGGGATCTGTAAGTGTAAACTCTTGAAGTCTATTTATCTACTCTGAAATGCTTTGCTGGCATTTTAAGTAGCAATCAATATATAATGACTGTACCTGGCTATGAATGTAGAACATGGCTCTCTGGGTGGCATTTTCCAGAGGGGGATGGAGGTGGGAAGGAGAATGAGGATGGTAAGGGGGTCAAATACTAGATGATGGAAGAAGACTAGACATTGGATGGTGAGCACACAATAGAGTATAAAGATGTCATCATATTATAAAATTGTACACCTGAAATTTATATAATATGATTACCCATTGTTACCTCAATAAATTTGATTTTTTTAATTAATTAAAGAGAAAAATCTTATTTCCAGACTATCCAAAAGAATAAAATACCTAGGAATAAGTTTTACCAAGGAGATAAAAGATTGTACTCTAAAAAGTATAAAACATTGCTGAAAGAAATTAAAGAAAACAGAAATGAAGTTTGGGATAATAAAAAAATTTTGATAGATGGTGCACAACATTGCAAGAATTGTATACATAAAATTGTTAAAATGGGAAATTTTATTATATATTATATACAAAAAATGTATACACACTCTTTGTATTATAAAGGAGAGTTTATTAATATATATTTCATTTTCATAATGGGGCTATCAGCTGTTGAAGTGTATATATATTGAGGGGGGGTACCCTGTAGTTTACCACAATTAAATTAAAAATATACATAAAATAGCTATGTGGGTTTCAGATTAGATGACAGATTTATGCTATCTTGAAACTCCACTGAAACTATAATAAAGGATTCTTTTTTCAGCATAAACATATAAGGTTGAAGATAACAGAAAGGAAATAATAGCAACACCATTTTATAAGCTAAAAAACAAATGGAGAAATAATCATGGCCTTGGTAGATCCAAAAAAGCTAAATCATTACTTGGCCATGGAGAAATGAAAACTAACCTGTTTTAACCACAGAATCCTCAAAAGTCTCAAGAATTGGCAGTGCCAGGTATTTCTGGAGGAGGGGGAGGACATAAATGAAAAGGCCTATCTGGAAAACTTCTCAAAATCTCACCTGCTTCATGCACTGGGTGACTGTCCCATCCCTTCCCTGGTAGTAGACTGAAAGTTTATTCTCTAGAGAGAGAAAAACATATATCTCTGGACTGGGACATGGACATGGGCAGTTTATTAGAAATAGGGCTATTTGCTGAACAATGAATAGGGAGTTCCTCAGCACTCTCTTTTCATTTGGTTTCCAGAATACTAGCAGCTGAACTTTACCCTTCACACAAAACATTGGAAGAGTCTTCTGTGAAGAATCTTACCAACTGAGAGGAAAGACCCAAAAGTGGTGACTTCAAGAAGTCCACCTAGATCACTCACTGTATAAGGAAGTTCAAAAACAGCCCATCTATATGCTAAAGCCTTCATGCAGCTTTTTAGACCTTCACTCAGTCTGAAATTATCTCTGGCTCACCACAGACATCAGAGGGAAAGTCTGTGATGCCCATGAGAAAGACCAAACCAATGGGGGCAAAAGGGGAAAGCAACTAGGAATAAACAAACAATGCAAGGAAAGAGGTACCCCACCCCCCAGAAAACTGTCCATTTCCTCAGCTATAAAAGGAAGTTTTTCTATCCATGAAACAAGAACAGATGCTTTAAAAGAAACTTTCTGATAACAACAACAAATAATGTTTAAATGTTGATATTTACAGTATACTAGAAATGGCATCCTTCGCAATTATTTATACTTAACTTTAAATGTTTGGTTCCTCCTCCCCTGTCCTCCGCCATCATTTCACAAAGTACATAGACTATTTAAATAGCCATTATTAATATACTTTAGCAAAGCCTTCATTTCAAGTCTTCTCCCTAAATGTTTTCCAAGTGTTGTTGGTGATCTTTCAGACTACTTTACAAAATGTATTCTAAAGTCTCAGGGCATCCTATATAATAAAGATGTAATATGCAAATTGACCATCACTCCAACACATGATGGCCACCCCCATGTGGTCAAAGATGGCCACCACAAGCTGGCTAGCAGAGGAGGACAGTTGTGGGTGGTCAAGCCAGCAGGGGAGGGCAGTTAGGAGTGACCGGGCTGGCAGAGGAGGGCAGTTGGGAGCTACAAGGCCTACAGGGAAGGACAGTTGAGGGGGCTCAGGCCTGCAGGGGAGGACAGTTGAGGGGGCTCAGGCCTGCAGCGGAGGGCAGTTGCGGGGGACCAGGCCAGCAGGGGAGGGCAGTTAGGAGGGGATCAGGATGGCAAGGGAGGGCAGGTAGGGACAGTTGATCAGGAGGGGATGGTAGTTGGGGGTGACCAGGCTGGCAAGGCTGGGCAGTTGGGGGTGATCAGGCATACAGGGGAGGACAATTAGGGGCAATCAGGCTGGCAGGGAAGGGCAGTTAGGGTTGACCAAGCCAGCAGGGGAGGGCGATTAGGGGCAGTCGGGCCTGCATGGGAGCAGTTAGGCGTCGATCAGGCTGGCAGGCAGAAGCAATTAGGGACAATCAGGCAGGTAGGTAGTTGGGAGCTGGCAGTCCTGGATTGTGAGAGGGATATCTCAGATTAGAGAGGGTGCAGGTTGGGCTGAGGGACAACACCCCAGTGCACAAATTTTGTGCACTGGGCCGCTAGTCCTCCTATATAATAAAAAGGCTAATATGCAAATGACCGACTTGCGGAACAACCAGTCACTATAATGCACACTGTCCACCAGGGGGCAGGCGCTCAGTATAAGAGTTGCCCCCTGGCCGAGACTGGTTTGGCTCAATGGATAGAGCGTTGGCTTGGGGACTGAAGGGTCCCGGGTTCGATTCCGATCAAGGGCTTGTACCTCGGTTGCGGGTATATCCCCAGTAGGGGGTGTGCAAGAGGCAGCTGATCGATGGTTCTCTCTCATCGATGTTTCTAACTCTCTATCTCTCTCCCTTCCTCTCTGTACAAAATCAATAAAAATATATTAAAAAAAAAAAAAAAAAAAAAGAGTTGCCCCCTGGTGATCAGTGCACTCCCAGGGGGAGTGATGCTGAGCCAGAAGCCAAGATCATGGCTGGTGAGCACAGCGATGGTGGCAGGAGCCCCTCCTGCTTCCACAGCAATGCTAAAGACCCCACCGTGGGTGCACAAATGTCATCCACCAGACCTCTAGTAAGTAGAATAAAAGCATACTAACTCATTGTATAAAGAGTTGGGGTTGTAGTCAATAGGAGAGTTAAATTATTGGGACTCTCAAATGTGTCACCTTAATTGGATTATAGAATATAAGCAGTGGGTGTGTTACTTTTTTCCTGTGTGGTTTTGCCTTATTTCCTCAATGAATGATGATTTCTGATTCCTAGGTTTACCTGAAGAGGGCAGAGCCATTCTAATAGTAGATCATTATAGACTTACTTTTAGGAATCAAGGTTCATAAAGTATGTTTATCAGCTTCTCACCTGATAGTTGTGATTTAGCATATGGGCCAAGATTTTCAAGAATATTGTTACTAAAGAAATTTTAAGAATGTTCAAATTCATCATTTCATTTCTTTGCAGGACTTTTAATGTCAGTATAATATTTAAGGTATAATTTTTAATTTAGCTTTATTCAAAACTTTATTAAATGTTAAATGAAGAAGGCACAAAGAGAAAGCTGTGGTCTGATGTTAAACTCACAGAAGTGTTATGTTCTGAATATAAAACAATTTAAAATATTTTGGGGAGAGAAAACAAGATTGCGGCCAAGGTAAACACCTGAAATTGCTGCCTCAAACAACCACTTTAAAACTACAACTAAAAGGCAAAGACATCATCCAGAACCACAGAAAGCATGGCTGAATGGAACTTCCTCTCTGAAATCAATAAAAATATTTTTTAAAATAAATACGTAAAATGTTGTACATGTACAAGAGGTGGTTGTAATTCTGTTTTTTTATAAAAGTTTTATAGTGTTTGCTTTTAGGTTTTGTTTCTAGGAGTTTTATGGTTTCAAGTCTTATATTCAAATGGTAGATGAAGAAGAGAATTTCACTCTAGTGTGTGTTAATCACATCAAATCTAGAGTATTGTATTTACTTTGGGGGTATTATATTATGCCCTAAAAAGAATGTTGAAAGGCTGGATTTTGGATAAGAGTTTGAAAGAAGCAGCATAGAGACAAATTTTACTAGATGATTTCCTAGCTTTAAGATTAAATGATTCTGTAGCTAGACATTATTTCTTCAAGGAAGGTGACACCTAGGAGAAACCTATCAAGATAATGATACTCATTTAGTTTGTAGCATTTTTTTTAAATTTCCTACTACTTTTGTAAAGCTATGTTTCTCATTACCATCTTAGAAAGGTAAGAAGGAGGTAATTTAATTACATAATGGATAGACTTGTGTATCAGCTGCAGCAAGTAAAGTTCATTTTTTCTTGTTTCCTTTTTGCCCTCAATCAGTTATGTGTTATCTTTGTTATGACTGGTAGGGGCTTAGGAAGTTGTGTTCTAGTGTCAGTTTATGTAGTAATTACTCTGGAACATTATATTATGTGGGAATTGAGGTATGATATTCATCCCATTTTTTTCTGGGGAATTTGAGTCCCTTTCTAATCTTCCATTATTATATAGACCTGGATTTCTGTTCTTTTGCTGCTTTTGTTATAGAGATGTAACAGAAAGATTTATTAAATTAAATAAAAATTAAGAAAGCAGATTTTAGCCAAAACCGGTTTGGCTCAATGGATAGGGCGTCACACTGAAAGGTCCCGGGTTCAATTCCGGTCAAGGGCATGTACCTTGGTTGCGGTCACATCCCCAGTCGGGGCTGTGCAAGAGGCAGCTGATTGATGATTCTTTCTCATTGATGTTTCTAACTCTCTATCCCTCTCTCTTCCTCTCTGTAAAAATTCAATAAAATATATATTTTTAAAATTTTTTTTTAAAAAGCAGATTTTAAACAAGTTGCAGCTATATGCAACTTTGACCTATAATAGATTTATGCTCAACAGTTTCTACTAGGGCTATATTGCTAACTCAGCAATCATATTTATATCTTAATTACCAAGTATTTTCTTGATCATAAATTTTCTCTCCTCAGCCCTCTAGTTATATTTTTATCTACTGTATTCTTACTATATTTCTTTGTATCAGATTTGTTGAAAAGATTGACACCATCCATCAAGAACACCTTTATCTTCCTTGTAACTTCATCATGCTGCTTATGTTTTCCACCTATGAACCACACATCTGTTGTTTTTAATTTCAAAGGAGACAGAACTTCTTCAGACACTAACACCTTTCTGTGGCTAAACACCAGCCCTCTGAAGCACAGAGCTCCACCATGCACACTGTCTCATTTATCTCCCTTCTCCTAATGGAGACAAAAAAAATGCTTTCAATCGAGACCTAATTTTCTTCACATTTTTATTTGTTTTTTGTTAATCCTCACCCAAGGATATTTTTTTCCATTAATTTTTGTTTTGTTTTTGTTAATCCTCACCCTCAAAAAATTGATTTTTTTTTTTTTTTTTTTTTTTTTTTTGAGAGAGAGGGAAAGACCAAAACATTGAAGTGAGAGAAACAAATCAATTGGTTGCCTCCTGTTAGTTCCCTAACCAGAGCCCAGGTCAGGGATGAGCCAACAACCAAGGTTCGTGCTCTTTACTGGAATCAAACCCTGGGACCATTTGGTTCACAGGCCAGTGTTCTATCCTCTGAGCCAAACCAGCTGGGGATTTCCATTGATTTTTAGAGAAAGTGAAAGGGAGGCGAAGAGACAGACAGAAACATTCATGTGAGAGGCACATTAATTGGTTGCCTCCTGCACATGCCCCAACTGGGTCCAGAGCCTCAGTCAAGGTACATGCCCTTGACCAGAATCAAACCTTCGACCCTTCAATCCATAGGCCGACACTCTATTCACTGAGCCAAACTGGCTAAGATGCCATATGTTTTTTTCTTTCTGTATCACTGCAGAACTTTGGGTTCAATTAAGTTTTTGTGTTTGAAACCACACTGGGCCTAAAAAGTCATGATGAAAAGATAATTTTAGATTGTGGTAAAAGCTCTGAAAGAAATAGTGTGAAGTCAGAGTAATTGGAGGAGGAGCTCGGGTTTTGAAATGAAAATTTTGTCTGAAAAAAATATCAAAATCTTATTCTCTAAGAGGATGTGGAAGCTTAGATGAAAACATATAAATTATAAGCTTAATGATTTACAAACCTATTTTTAACAGTGATATTATAATCTCATTTTAAAGCAAAACTTATTCCTAATAGTCATTGTCAAATTTCAGAAGTCTCATATATTTGTTTTCTCCAGCTTTAAATGAAGAAAAATAACCTTGACTAGGACATTATATGCATCTCAATATAGTTGTTTTAGCTGATGTGTTTTAAATGCTTTATGCCAGGCACTGTACTAGGCACTGGGGATAAACAGAAATAAACTAGGCCCAGCCCTTTTCCCTCAATGAACTTAACTAAAGCTATTATAGAGGAAGTTTGCTACACACTGATTTTAAGAGAGTATTCTAAGAACATTAATACTACCTTTAAAAAGGGTTTTATCAATCAAACTTTTAAAAAGAAAGTGAACATAGGTGGAAAAATATTGAATCAAGCTGTTCCAATAATTTCTATATAACTGAACAGAGAAAGATCCCTTACAGTGAGTTATTCATAGAATAGCTTCACCCAAGAGATAGATTGTATATTCAATCTTAAAGGAGTGGTATGAATAGGTGGAGGATAGAACAAAACTAATTTGAGGGATGAGTATAGGAGGGGATATTTAAAGGACCTGGGTAAATAGACTTGACTGGAGTGAAAGGTTTGTATTGGGAAATAGTAAAAGGTAAAGCAAAATCTTTTAGTGGAAAACAAAATTTTGGCTGTACCATGTTAGTAATATGTTCCTCTAATCTTAAATTCATTTACAGTCTATTTTTCTATTTTATATGTAAAGGGGTTATCACATTGTACAGTTTAAGTTGTATCATGATTTAAACACTTCTTTATTTATACCCCTAAATATGTTCTATAAAATTTGAGGCCAGAGTACTTAGCCCTACTCAGGTTAAAATGATGTTTTGTTTTTCAGTTACTTACACGCCAAGTCAATCATCCACAGAGACCTCAAGAGTAATAGTATCCTTCCTGAAATTTGTCTGCGAAGTTTGAAAACATCCTGACTTTTTCTTCTGCATTTTATCTTCACATTATGTAAAAAAGTTTCATGCTAAGTTCAATGTATTATAAAGAGAATTAATAAATGGGTTTGCATGGAAGTGTAGTAGAACAAGGTACTACAGCCTGCTTTTGGTTTATGAACGATTGAGCATTACAACAAAAATCTATGAAATCTTTATGAAAGTAGGGCTCTTTTTGATTGCTTGCTTATGTTCTATCAGCACTGTAAAGCAAGTAGTTTGTAGTTATCTACTAGTTCCTTTTAGCACTCTGACCTTGCTCAGCAGTAGGTAAGATGTAGCTGAAGGCTCTAAGTTATGGATAATGTGAGGTGAGAAAAACATATTTTTCCTCTTTCATAAACTCATGTTAAGATCCTGTCTACCAACCACCTTCATTCCAGTGAAGAGCCTTTACCACTCCCCAGCAGTGCCAAAAGGATATTTGGGCCTATATACTAAAACCTTGTGGGAAGTTTCAGGGTCTCATACACTTAGGAAAGCATCTCACCTTACTCTACCTCATTTCAAGCCCCCAAAACCTTAAAACCAGGTCATACAGGCAAATAGACCTAACTAATTTATAAAGTACTACACCTTTTTTCAAAGAATTTCATATTGCAGAATCATAAGAATTAGATCTCTTACCTAAATTTCATAATGCTTGTTCTGATTGGAAAATGAGATCTATTGTTTTCCTTTACTTACTACACCACAGATATTTTTCTTCATGAAGACCTCACAGTAAAAATAGGTGACTTTGGTCTAGCTACAGTGAAATCTCGATGGAGTGGGTCCCATCAGTTTGAACAGTTGTCTGGATCCATTCTGTGGATGGTAAGAATTGAGGCCTTTTTACATTAATTTTTGGGACCCTGAGATGCTAATGAGTACTAGAAAGTCATTGAAGGTTTCAACTATAGTATTTTAATAGTTCCTAGTATTCACAAAAATCAACATTCATCTTATTTTTTATGTAAATAAATTTTTATTTATCTTTAAAAATAATATTATGAAACTAGTTTCAGTATCTTTCAAACAAAAATATGTTTTTTAAACACTTTATATTTTATTTTAAATTGTCTCTAAAATATTTTGTGTTCCAAATGTTCCTTGTTCCCAGTTTGTTTGTTTTTTAAAGTATGCAATTTAAGCATGTGTGACCTACAGCCATTATTAAGGTTTGTGAAGAGAACTACTCCTTTAAAGAGAGGCTGTTTGGCCAAAACCGGTTTGGCTCAGTGAACAGAGCGTCAGCCTGTGGACTGAAAGGTCAAAGGTTCGATTCTGGTCAAGGGCATGTACTACCTTAGTTGCCGGCACATCCCTGTGGAGGGTGTGCAGGAGGCAGCTGATGGATGTTTCTAACTATCTGCCTCCCTTCCTTTCAGTAAAAAAATCAATAAAATATATATTTTTTAAAATAAAGAGAGGCTCTTTGCCTTGGCCCATGTGATTCAATTGGGCGTCGTCCTGTGCACTGAAAGATTACCAGTATGATTCCCAGTCAGGGCACATGCCCGAGTTGCAACTCAATTCCCAGTAGAGGGCATACATGAGAGCGCTCACATCAGTGTTTCTCCCTCCCCCTCTCCTTCTCAAAAAAGTTGATTTAAAAAAAAATTTTTTTTTAAGAAGAGGAGAGGCTACTTCACAGTCTTATTTAAGCCTAAATTGGAGTTACTTTATTTAGACTAGGAAGAACCATATAATTATGGAGCACATGGGAGAGGAGAGAGAAAAAAAAAAAAAATGAGAGGTTTTTAACACTGTCAGCTTTGTGCTGCCCTACATAAGTCTTTCTCTCTTTTTTTTTTTCTTACATGTTTTTATTGATTTTTAGTGAGAGGAAGGGAGAGAGAAAAATCTATAACGGGAACATTATCAATTGGCTGCCTCCTGCATGCTCCCTACTAGGGTTTGAGCTGCAACCCGGTCACATGCCCTGACCAGGAGCCAAACCAGCAATCTCTTGGTTCCTGGGTCGATGCTCAACTACTGAGCTGTACCGGCTGGGTTCTTTTTTCTTTATTCCTATTTCTACTTTGTGGAAAAGAAGAAAGAGAAAATACAAAAGAAGGGAACCAAGACTTCCGTGTAGTTATCTTCAGCAGGCTGTGGAGACAGTCTAGGAACCATTCTCTAAGCAGTAATTCTCAAGAGGGTCCCCAAGACCCTTTTAGAAGTCCCCAAGGTCATTCTTGTGTGAGCCCAAATTATTCTTCATAGTCCTCAGATGTTGACCAGAACAACATCACACCAGATTGAACGCAGAAGCAAAGTAGATGACTCGAGCTGGCAACTGCTAAACCAGATAGTCAAAAAGAACTGTAGGACTGTTCTCACTAAAATTTTTTTCTTTTGGAAAATACAGTTACTTTTCATTAAAAATGTGTAATTTGTGTTAGCATCTACTTATTGCTGTTTTATTATTCAAATGAATTAATAAATATTTTAAGTTTCTCAGTTTAGTTTTAATATGAGTATTTATCCCCAGGTATAATATATAAGCTCTTTGGGGGTTCTCAGTAATTTAATTTTCTTTTTTTTTAAACATATTTTTATTGAATTCAGAGAGGAAAAGAGGAGAGAGAGATAAAAACATCAATGATGAGAGAGTGTAATTGATTGGCTGCCTTCTGCATGCCCCACACTGGGGATGAAGCCCACAACCCAGGCATGTGCCCTTGACTGGAATCGGACCAGGGACCCTTCAGTCTGCTGGCCGACACTCTTATCCACTGAGTGGGGCTAGGGCCTCAGTAATTTTCAAGATTGAATGAGTACTGAGACCATAAAGTTTGAGAACTGCTGCTCTAAGCTGAATACAGGATGTCTCAAAACTATTAGTGCAGTTTTTAAATAACAGAGTGTGCACTCTGGGACACCCTACTGGAAACAGAAAAGCAGTGAGGGGCTTTCCGAGCCACATTTGCCTAAGTTCTTTGAGCTCTCTGTATAAGTCTCCCAGAAGGTAGGGTTCTGAATTAGTCCAGATAAGCCTAGGGTTAAATTGAGCTATGGTTTCTTGTAATAACTGAAATTAGGGCAAACTATAAAGTGGAAGGGGGATTGAATTTAGAGGTAGGAGGTGTGTATTGTAATGTTCTGTGTGATTCTTATCTGCACTTTTCTGAACTGCCTCCAAGTCTCCATCCTTAATGCTGGGCTGGACTAGTGCATTTCTAAAGCCATTTCTATTTCTAAGATTCAGTATTTAAAGCTGGGAAGAATTTTTCTTTAATATATGTTTAATTGTTTTAATACAAAATTATAAACAAGAGGCTAGTTAGTAATTATAATGCAAATCTCGGGCACTTTTAAGGTACACAACTTTTAAAAAAAGATGGCCGTGTATCCAAGGAGGGTACAACAGATTTTTAAATACTGGAATTGCAAAATCTTTAAAATTATAAAGAAATAATTGATATACATTTTAGAGGTGTGTTTATTTAAACTAGTGTGGGAGAGAGAGGCTTAGTCAAGAGTTTGGGTTTGTCTTTATTCAAAGACCTTCATGGATTATTATACATGAAGTTTTATATTTTGTTCTAGTTTCTTTTTTGTTGATACCTGGGTAGATGAGTTCATCTTTTATTTCCCCAAACTGAGTTTGAAGATGAGAGACTAGCCAGTAGTACATTTAATTGTTGAATAAATATTTTCGGGTTGATATTGCCTTCAGAAACAAATTTAGAACATCCATAAGCTAGGAAAGAAGAGTTTGGTCAGAACCAAGGTTATATAATGCTCTGATTTACAATAGTCTTCTCAGCCTTGTTTTATTTATAGCTTAGAAGGGAAAGAAAACTTTGTAAAAAAAAAATGTTTTGCAAATTAAAACACTAAATTAACAGGATTCATAATGCATAAATTGTAAATAGATGACATACTACTTTTTATCAAGTCATCTACCAACAACAGTGAGGTTAAAACTAAATTTTAAAGGCAACTTTTCAATTGATTTATTACTCTGTCCCTCACAGAAATTGTGTTCTGGCTTTGAAAATTATGTCTATAGCCGAAACTGGTTTGGCTCAGTGGATAGAGCGTCGGTCTGCGGACTGAAGGGTCCCAGGTTCGATTCAGGTCAAGGTCATGTACCTTGGTTGCAGGCACATCCCCAGTAGGGATGGTTCTCTCTTATTGATGTTTCTAACTCTCTGTCCCTCTCTTTTCCTCTCTGTAAAAAATCAATAAAATATATATATATATTTTTTTTAATTATGTCTGTATCATAACCAGCCTCTCAGTTTTCTGGCTTGTTCATTACATCACGGTTGTATGTGGCTTATTTTGTACTGTAAAAGCAATATCAGTAAAGTGTAAGACAAAAACAAGTAGATACAACCCTCCCTTTACCCCCATCCTTTCACTCTTATCAGGATCTCCCTCCCACACATCTTCCCATCAGTGTTTCTCAACTTTGGTTGAGCATTAAAAACATCTGGGGAGCTTTAAAAACTAACTAATGTATCCTCAGATTCTAATGTTGTGTTCTTGGGCTGGAATATATTCTGGACCTTGAGAGGGTTAAGGCTTCACAGGTGATTCTGATTTCCAGGTGAGGATCAGTGCCATTATTCCCTGCCTTGTACCTTACTCTGACCAGCAACCAGGACTCTTGTCCCAGGTCTTTCAACCTTTTTACAGTTAGTCCTGGTTTTGGTATCAAATTAATGTTTTCACAGAGTTTTTATTAATACCCTTCAATTTATTTGATTCCTTCCAAATGAAACAATACAGAAGATTCAAGGTGAAATAACTGTTTAAAGCTAATTAACCAATCATTCGTTGCATTTCAAGTAAGTAGCCAATAAGAAATCTACCTGTAGAATACAGTGACCAAAACATACAAAAACGTATATAACACGTATGATTTGGTCTATATCTTTGCCCAAGAAGCAGCAGCAAAAAGATTTTTCATACTACCTTCTATTAAATCTACCCACTACCTATTGCTTTTGTTAATAAGACATCTTTGGCATGCTTATACCATTTTTGGAGGTGGGAAAGGGATTTGAGTTTATAAGTCTTGAAATTTTGCCATTATTATCTAAGGTATCCTTAGATGGGAATCATTTGTACCAACGGGAAAACTTAAAATTCTAAGGCAATTGCCATAGTGGTTGTGCTTCTCCCAAACATCTTACAACCACAGGTATAGTATTTATTTGCTGAAACATGAATGGGAAGTAGGAACTAATTCTTGGTAGGTAAGTCAAGGGAAGAATTTAAATAGCAATGATGATATTTTGTGTAAAAAGAGGACAACTGGTAAAATTATTAAAATATTAGTAATACAGATAGAATCTCAGCTAACACTGCCTCTTTTAGAGTTTACAGGGCATATTTTTACTCTTTCTTAATCAGTTATATTTCTTTCACCATTAGTAAGAAAATTAATTATATATTAGGTGGGTTATTTAATGATAAGAGCAATTTTCTGGGAATCATAATAGTTTGGTTTTTAGTCTTTATTCAGTTAAAGTAAAGAATAAACAACATTTCTCTATTTCTTTTCTAACAGGCACCAGAAGTAATCAGAATGCAAGACAAAAACCCTTATAGCTTTCAATCAGATGTATATGCATTTGGGATTGTTCTGTATGAATTGATGACTGGACAATTACCTTATTCAAACATCAACAACAGGGACCAGGTAAATATTTATCATCTCGTGATGTATTTTACTATTTATATTAAGTTCCAATTCCAATTCATTGTAGAAAAGAAGTGTGATGTCCTGGATACATATGAGGGATAGACCTCTGGGTCCTTGTCACCAGTTTAGATACCTTTTGAATACTTTTGATAGTAATAGCAGCATGTAAGGCCTTTCCTTGTAATATTCTTTTTTTTTTTTTTTTTCATTAAATAGTATGTGTTTTAGTCAAGAGCTCACCTATCCATCTTTTTGATGATAGTTCTCTCACTAAGAACTACCACTATCAATGCGAAATCATAAAAGTAATCTAAGTTATCATGTACTTGATATATGCTCATTGAATTACCATATGGCCTTACCTAATAGCAGTTTTAATTCTATATTTTGAAATATTTTTAATGACTATATTTCTACTAAACTCAACACAAAACTAATTTTTTTAGTTGCTGTTTGGTCTTTTTAACTATTTCATATCTTTAGAATGTTGAAACTTAGCTTTGAGTATTAAAAAAAATTCTATGGCCTAGCTTTTGATGATCTGATATTTTAAGCCTGCATGAAACTTAAATTCAGGATGGATCAAAATACTAGCTGAAAGATATAACTGAAATATATTACTTACTGTACTTGTGACAGATTCGAGATCCCTGAAATACTGATGACAGCAATTTGAGTAGCAAGATTGTTGTCTCTAATTAGCAAGCTTTGTGAGCTCTGTCTTTTACTCTCTCGTTTCCTCAGCCAAATAGCATAATCCCCATGCTATGTTCACTTTTCCTATGCAAAGTATTTCTCTAAAGGAATTATATGGGAATTATAGTTTAGTTTTTGTTGATTTACCATAGATAACTACAAATAATAAAAATTTGTGAATATAGATGACAGCCATTTACCAGTGAATATACTTATTTTAATAAAACAATAAAATTATATATGGAAACAAGTATTATCATCTCCAAAATATGGATAAAAGCATCCCAGAGTTTTTGGCATTTTAGGCACTTTGTCTTCCATGGGAGTATAATTAGTGATGTGGCAAGGACTTCCTTTCCTGAGAGAAATAAGTGAGTGACCAACAGAAGGGTAAGGCCTTTATTACTGTGTTTCCCCGAAAATAAGACATCATCCGAAAGATAAGACATCATCCGAAAGATAAGACATCCCCTGAAAATAAGACCTAGCGCAGCTTTGGGAGCAAAGTTATTTTTGGGGAAACAGGGTAGTTAAGCTCTTTCTGGTAGTATACTTACAGGCTTATGGAATTTGCCAGTCTAAAACCAAGTCAAGTATTTGATTTAAAAAAAAAAAAAGGAGGTAAAATAAATAAATAAATAAATAAATAAATAAATAAATAAAATTTTACTGGAATTAAAAAAAAAGAAAGAAAGAAAGAAAGAAAATGGAGGTAAAAGAACCATATACTGCCCTGGCTACTGTGGCTCAGTTGATTGTTACATTGTCCCATGCACCGAAGGGTTTAATTCAGGGCACATATCCAGGTTGTGGTTCAATCCCTGGTTTGTGACTAAATGATGTTTCTCTATCCCTTTTTCCCTCTCCCTCTCCCTATAAAACCAATAAAATAAAATAAAAATGCAAAAACTGTTCAGAGGAAAAAAAAAAAAGGGGGGGGGAGTGATATATTCTTCCCATTATCATTCTTCAATATCATCTAGTTTGCTTTCTACCAATGGCACTTTCTGTGAAACTCCCTCCTGAGTTGCTAATTCTAGTCATCCTCAATGAAGTGTAACCGCAGTCATTGCTCACACCATCCCTTTGATTTGATTTTCTTTCCTTCTCTTATACTTTGATTTCCATGGCTCTCAGATTGACTTCTGCTTGAAAATCTAGGAATATTCTTTTTTCATGGTAGATGAGAAAGCTGCTTCTTTACAATAACAGAAACTACTTCCCCATGCTCTCACCCATATAGTCAGAGATGGCAGGTATAGTTTTAATGGCAGGACTCTGGTAAAGTAGCATGATGTAATGGCAGACCCTGGATTCATAACCTGTATAACCTGGTCACATTACCTCTGTAGGTGTATGTTTTGTGTTTTGTTGTTTGTTTGTTGTGTTGTTTTTTTTGGAGGGGAGGGAGGGTATTTGTTTGATTTCCAATTATAAAAATAAGAAATTTGACTAAAGAATACCTTCCAGTTATAAAAATCAGGATCTTTCCTAAAACAGGTCTCTTAAGCTCCTTAAGGGGTGACCAGTCTATGTTACTTTGCAGAGTAGCATATCTTTTACTTTAGTTACCCTAATGCTGAAATCTAAGAAATTGCTTTGTCATTTTTTTCTTCTCTGTATGATTCCAGTTTGTTATCTTATTACTGTATTCTTCCCTCTTTCAGTACAGCTTCTTACTAAATTGAGATTTACTAGTATAATGTGCTCATTAGCTAGGTATATTAACTGCCTACCTTCAGGGCTTTCTTTTCTTGGAGCAGAAGTGCCATGTCATGTTAGAAGAAAATAACATTGCATTTATCTGTTATTTCAAGTGTATTCCAGTTATTATTGCTGTTTAACAAATCACCCAAAACATAGTGGCTTAAGTAACTTAAGCATCTGCAATTTGGGCTGCTCTCAGTGAGGAAGGTTTATCTGTTTCATATAGTATTATCTGGGGTAGATTCAGTGAGGAAGAATCTGCTTCCAAAGTGGCTCATTCACAAACTTGACAAGGGGGCACTAGCTGTCAAGTGGAAGCCCAGCCAGAGTCCTCAGTTGTTCTCCACCTGGGTCTTTATGTGAGGATTTTTTCATGGGAAACTTGGACTTTCTCATAGTCTGGTGGCTGGGTACTGAGCACAGATCTCAAGAGACAGGAAATGATAAGTACTATTGTCTTATCAATATAAACATTATTTCAATAAATAAAAATTTTGATACTATATGCAAAGCACTGTGTGATATAGAGAGATACAGAGATGAATAAAACACAGGCTGAGCTCTTAGTAGAGTTTACAGTTCTGTTGAGGCACTGCAGGTGGGTGATACTGACGATAAACAGATGTATACAGAGGAGTGAATGAAGAGGTGGAGATGCCAGGAGTGCTGAGTGTGGATTGAGAATGAAAATAAGCAGGCCCAGAATTTCAAACCAAGCCACTGATTTACTAGTGTGTGTGCCACTTGAATCTTCTATCCATGAATTACATCCAAGAAAGACTCTCTCTTAAGTTTAAATAATTACAAAGAATGTAATTGCTAGTGTATTATATTAACATTTCAAAATAAAGCCATTATAGCCTTTTTTTTAAGTGCCCAATAAAACGTAAAAGCCATGCTGATTTGATGCCTACCATCACTTCTTTAAAAAATACTATATAAAAACTCTTCATTAATTTTTAGAAGTTTTACATGGCTTTTTTTTTTTTCCTTCTTTGAACCACTTGTATTACTACTTAAATTTAGAATTTAAAAAATATTCCTATGATTTTTATCAGCTCTGAATGCTATTTTTAAATTGTGACTTATTCCATTATTCATAACTATCAATGTATAAGTGATGGAAATAAGTTTTTATTATTTAAGAAACATTTAAGGTAAAATTTTATTGGAAATGTGTATCTTAATGAACAACATGGGACTTTTTAAAATTTATTTATGAATCTGTGGATAAATATAACTTTCACTAGAATGAGCTGGACTTAGCATCAGTCCTTTTCCTTGTTTTGTTTTTAAAGAAATAAGCACTGAGAAATATTGTTTAAATAAGTAAGAAGCTAAGAAAATCAGGAGTTTCATTATAATTTATGCTGAGTTCAGTGGTCCCCAAACCACCTTCACATTCAGTAATTCATTAAGTCTCACAAAACTCACTGAAAGTTGTTAATTGTCATAGGTAGTTTATTGCAAGAAAAGGAAACAAATTAAAATCCGTCCAGGGAAAGTGCACATAGGGCAGCATTAAGAGGTTCCAGTTGTCCTCTCCCAGTGGGATTGTGGACAACACTACTCCTGGCAACAATGTGTGACAACACGCATGAAGTATCGCCAAACAGAGACTCTCACTCGAGTTTTGCAATTCAGAGTTGTTATTGGGGCTTAGTCACGTGGCCAACCATAGCTTTCAGAGGGCAAGCTGATACCACTAGAGCCTAAGCCCCCTCTATAAATCACATTCATAGCATAGACTATCTGACACCTCCCAGGCCCCAGGTAAACAAAGACACTCTTATCAGGCACAAGAGGCTAGGGATTACCTCCCGGGAGCCAAAGAAAGGCCAGCCCTCCACGTAGGCAAGATTATTCTTTACCATACACCATTCCACTAAGTTATTTGAATTCATATCTTGAACATACCAAAAATTACATAATAACTGGTCATTAATAGTTATTTTAATAGTCAGCTGACAATTCAATTAATTTTACTGAAAACAAAGAATTGAAAACCAATTGCCTTGTAAAGGGAGTGTTGCCCATTCATTGGAACACAGTTAGACACCAGTATGTGAAAGTGTCCTTTTGGTACCCTAGCAGTTTTACACCCTGGAGCGCTGTGCACTATAGTGAAATTCCGTACTGGTAAAAGGTAACTTGTAAAGTGGGAAAAGAATAAGCTTTATATAATACTTTCATTTTAGTGGTACTTAGCCAAATCAGCTTATAGTTAATAAGGGTCATTACATCACCAAACAGGGAATAACATAAAGTAGGATATCAATCTTGACTTTCTTAAAATTACCAGCTCTGTCCTGTAACAAGGCGCTCTCTACCTCAGCCTCTAGTCTGGCCCTATTGGACCAGTTCCCTCTAAGAGTAAAACCCCTCTCTCCACCCTAAGTCACAAGACTCCTAACAGCTGTCTCCGTCCACCTTCAAAAGAGCCCAAATTAAGAAATTAGAAAAATTACAAATATCCGCAAAGGGAAGACAGATCTTTTTACTTTTTAAACAGAACTTAGTTCTTTCTGGAGGAGTCTCTGGTTCTCAGATTTATATAACTGTAAATGCCCCATTAGAGTTTTCTCACCAAAAGAATTTAAAATGCTGATGTAAAAACTAAAAAGTTAACTTTGTTGGTTCCTGCTACATATATAAAGGGCTTAGTATGATGCCCAATAAATTACTTAAGTAGAAAAGAGGCATAATCTGGTCTGTGTTTTAGAATGATGATTCTACCAGTGGAAAATAGATTAGATAGGGCAACTGGAGCATGGGAGCAATTAGGAAATCTTAACAGTAGTGCAGGAGTCATGAAGATTTCAGTTTGCAGCCCTTGAAGTATTGGCTCCCAGTTATATGTAGGCATCAGAGTATTAGCATTATGTTATTAAATTTTTTATGGAAGTGTAATTTGCAGACAGAAAAGTACACATCTTACGTGCATAGCTTGTTGAATTTTCAATCTTTATCCTTTTTTCAACTAATCTACAAGTTTTATAATTCGCCTGTTTTTTCTTCCCAGATAATTTTTATGGTGGGACGAGGATATCTATCTCCAGATCTCAGTAAGGTACGAAGTAACTGTCCGAAAGCCATGAAGAGATTAATGGCAGAGTGCCTAAAAAAGAAGCGAGACGAGAGACCACTCTTTCCCCAAGTAAGAGAAAACTTTATGTTACCTAATATTCAAATGCAGGTTTTTTCAGCGCTTATTAGAGCACACAGTTTATATTTCATGGGTTTGGATCCCATATGATTATGTACAGACTCGAAATAAGTAAACACAGAGATGATTTTATAAAGGTTGAACAGTGGCACCCCTAAAAACTTGGGATCCCAGTTCATACTATTCAGAAAGACTTGGCTTTTTCCTAACCATTATAAAATGATTTGGTCTCATAACCCTTTTAAAATGATTAAAGACCCCCCAAAGAGATTTTTATATAGTAATTACAATTTTAGAATTTAAAACTGTGTTTTCAACTAAGTTTTTAAAATATTTATAAATTTATTTAAACATAATGTTTTTATGAAAAATAATTATGTTTTCATAAACAAACAAAAAAATGAGTGAGAAAAGAAACATTGTTTTACATTTTTTACAAATCTGCAACCAACATACATGCCCTGATCGGAATCGAACCTGGGACCTTTCAGTCCGCAGACCGACGCTCTACCACTGAGCCAAACCGATTTCGGCCACAGCTACATTTTTAATTGTAATTAAATAGCTAATGTGGCTAGTTGCTTTTATACTTTCTGTTATGGCGAGAGCATTTTTTTTATTGATTAAGGTATTACAAATGTAATGAATGGCATCTTTATATGTTCTTCCTCAATACAAATAGGCATCATCTGAACCAGAGATTGACAAACTGGTCTACTGCCTGATTTTGTAAGGCCTATGAACTAGATTTCTGCAATTTTAAATGGTTGAAAATATATTTTGACACTAAAGAAATTAAAATTTATTGAACATTTGTATACTCATGCACTATTCTAATCACTTGGGATTAATTAATCAGTTGGATTGGTCTAATATGAAAATGGCTAATAATAAGCCATTATGCAAGCCATGTGAAATGTCTGGAAAAGGTGGGAAGTAACAAGAGTCCTCATAACCTTTGGAATTAGGGTGGAACTGCATCGAGGGAATCGAGGGGGAGGGGATTCTTTGGGTCAATCTCAGCTGGAAGAAGGACTCATTCACATTTCCCTGAGGTCCAGAGGTGGCAGCTAATTTCAACAGATATTATCCCATCATACCTTAGTGTTCTTTTTGTTTTCTTTCTTTAAATTACTGGAATGTGGTTTCTCTTAATTTGACTTTTAAACTATAATGATGTATCTCAGTTTTAAGGCTGCAAGATTAAATAAGAGAATTTAGTTGTCTACTTTTAAGCCAGATATTAAAGAGATCTGCAAAAATGTAAAATAGCACTAATATCATTTAAAACTAATTTTTTTAATGTGATATTTTTGAAGGACAAAATTTTGAAGCAATTCTTTACTCAAATGTTTAAATTTAAAAAAAAAGTTAAATTAAAAAAAAAAAAAGCAAAGGATATGAATTGACAATTCACAAAAGAAATACAAATGGTAAATGAACTTAGGACTAAATGTTAAGAGGTCAGTGATAACCGAAACCGGTTTGGCTCAGTGGATAGAGCGTCAGCTTGAGAACTGAAAAGTCCTGGGTTCAATTCCGGTCAAGGGCATGTACCTTGGTTGCGGGCACATCCCCAGTAGGGGGTGTGCAAGAGGCAGCTGATTGATGACTCTTTCTCATCGATGTTTCTAACTCTCTATCCCTCTCTCTTCCTCTAAGTAAAAAATAAATAAAAATATATTTTTAAAAAAAAAAGAGGTCAGTGATAGTTATTAAAATGCAGAGTAATACAATAGTGAAACCAGTTTTTTATTTTTGCTCCTGGATTGGCAATAGGCAGCATGGGGCACAGTGTTGGGAAGGGGGAAGAGCCTTCCTTTTAAACTTAACAGTATTGGTGGCCTGTAAATTGGTTAGGCCTTTTGATTGGACTTGGTAAAAGTCATAAGCTCAAATTACATATACCCTTTGCTCTGGTAATTCCACTCCTAAAAATGTGTACTACAGAACCTGCTTCCACAAGTATTCAGATATGTACAAGAATGTTTATGCAATGTAAAAGGAAAAAGTAAAGACATGAAGGCCAAGGTAGGCTCTGCAGATGGCATACATATCAATAAGGGAGCAAGCAACACAGAAAAATGTGTGAGACATAAATGCTGTTGAGTGTGAGGGTGGGCTCTTTTAATATGTGCATGTTTATGCATAAGAAAGGTCCTGAAGAAACTATAGACTCTTTAGCAGTGGTTACCCTGGGAGGTAAGATTTATACTTTTCCATATTATTTGAATTTTTATTTGTGTGATATGCTTGTAATTTTTTAAATATATTTTTATTGATTTCAGAGAGGAACGGAGAGTGAAAAAGAAAGAAACATTGATGATGAGAGAGAATCATTGGCTGCCTCCTGCACACCCTCTCCGCAGGCCGACACTCTATCCACTGAGCCAAACATACCAGGGCGATATGCTTATAATTTTTTTAAAATTTATAACATTGCCTATTTCTTACCTTTATGTTAACCATTATAAAGATTATAGTTTAACTAGAGGCCCAGTGCACAAAATTCATGCACGGTGTTGTGGGGGAGGGGGTGTCCCTCAGCCTAGCCTGCACCCTCTCCAATCTGGGACCCCTGGAGGGATCAGGCCTAAACAGGCAGTCAGACATTCCTCTCACAATCCAGGACTGCTGGCTTGCCTGCCTTCCTGATTGCCCCTAACAACTTTTACCTGCTAGCCTGATCACCCCCTAACGACTCCCCTGACAGCCTGATTGATGCTTAACTGCTCCCCTGCCAGCCTGATTGCCCCTAACTGCTCTCCCCTACAAGGTTCTCAATCTGTGGGTCACAGTCCACAGGTTGAGAAAGGCTAGCAGGGTCGCCTAAGACCATCGGAAAACACCGATATTTACATTACGTTTCATAACAGTAGCAAAGTTACAGTTATGAAGTAGCAATGAATTAATTTTATGGTTGGGGCTCACCACAACATGAGAAACTATAGTAAAGGGTCACGGCATTAGAAAGTTTAAAAACCACTGCTGTAAAATATGATGAGGGTTTTAAAGACTAATACCACCTAGATTTTCATTCTTTCTTTTTTTTTTTTTTTTAGATTCTTGCCTCTATTGAGCTGTTGGCCCGCTCATTGCCAAAAATTCACCGCAGTGCATCAGAACCCTCCTTGAATCGGGCTGGCTTCCAAACAGAGGATTTTAGTCTATATGCTTGTGCTTCTCCAAAAACACCCATCCAGGCTGGGGGATATGGTGCGTTTCCTGTCCACTAAAACAAATGAAATGTATGAGAGAGTGTTGGAGGGTAGGCACAAAGGAAAATGAACTATGTGTGCTTATATATTTGTTAAATTGAATAGAATTTTTTTAAGGTAAGCCAATGTGTTATAAAATGTGTTTAAAATGTAATTTTTCCCCATCTAAAATTCTTAGATGGATTTTCATTGGATTTTCAATTTTCAAGGGTTTAAAATGCAGACTTTGCTAAAATGTGCAAAGCCTTTTCCAGATGTTTTATTTCCTATTCCAAGTTTGTTTTATTTACTTGGTTATTCTGATGATTAAACTTCAATTAAACTTTTCCCATGCACCTTTTGTCATTAGGTACTGCCCATCTGTTAGGGTTTTCCAAGAATACCAGCACTCCTGTGCACATGTGTGTAGGTGGGAGGTTGACAATAGGTTAGCCAGTGTCAAATTAGGCAGACCAGACAGATCACATTCAGGAAGTCGCTAAAAATGAATAAGTTTGTTTTATTCTTAACATTTTTCTGTAACTATTTCTTTTTCTTACAATTTGGAAAGTGTGAATGTCCTGTCCTGTATTCCCTTAAAGCAATAAACTAAACCAAATTTCTTTTTATAAATTATGGGTGCAGGTAACTATAGCTGCTGCTGAGGAGTGGCATGCTTGACATGAGTAACATGGTTTAACTTTGCATCTTTAGTGGGGAAATGTTATAAGTTGAAGTTCTCTATAGATATTTCTTTTTATATTAAGGATATCTTACATAGAAGCCTAATTTCCTTACAAATGCACCGCCTCCTCCTTCCCCCAAAAGCTTCACAGAATCCTGTGAAAACTGTTAGGTTTGTTTTTCTTTTAGATAGCTTTGTTTGCCAAACACCTGGTAATGGATTTTTTTAATTGTTGCTTTAAATTATCTTACCTCTTGTGGTGCCTGTTTCGCATGTGTCTCATAAACTTCTGTGCCCCTTATATTCTTTGCCCAGCAATACTACTGATTATGAAAGAATGGCATTCTTTTTGTGTATGTTCCATGGTACAAAGTATTTGTTAACGCTTTCTCATGCTTACACTCTCTTGTGTAGACAATGACTGTAATGTGCCAGTCAGTATATTCTCACTGTGAACCATAATCTTACTGGGAAGAAGCATTACTGTTGACATTTCTCCTTCAGAGTCAGCCTAAGGACCACGCCAGCCTCTTCAGTACATCTTTATTTATTCAACTTGAATTTGTACTGATTTTTAAATATAGCTGACAGTTCAGTTATTCAGGCACACAGACAACATCTGCCTAAATGCTATCCTTCTTTGAAACCAGTAAAGAAAATTGGAAAGACTTTAATAATAACGTAGTTTTTAAATACCACAAATTTTTCAAATACTTTTTGTATTTGCTTAAGTTAGATTTCATCCAGGAAAACCACGCAGTGATAAGTATGATATACCTTTTTGCTCCTCATTTGGGTAGGTTAAGATAAGTAGTGTCATTCATGTTTTTTAGAAATTGATTCATGATTTTTAGTTTAGGCAAGAGTAGTGAAAAAGAAGTTTCTCATATTTTAAAGAATAAGAAAGACAATATAATGTAACATGTTGGAAAACATCAAAATGCATGGTTTCTAAGTCCTCTAGTGACACTAAAAATACAGTTACTAGTAACTATTAAGTGGGGTTTTATTCACAAATTAAATAAACTAGTAGCTAACAGTTTTAACAAAGTTGACTTGCTGTATGGAATGCTCAAAGACTAGCATTTTGAGGCACAAGAGTCAAAGAGTCTTTTTATTGATTGAGCTGTTTCTGTAATTCTCCAGTATACTTGCTTCACTGTTATCTTTCTTTCTTTATACACTCTTTTTTGCTTCCATCATTAACCACCTGAACAGTCCCCACCATCTGCATTCTTTCCTCTCCTTTGCCAGAGAGCATTCAAAGCTAAGTTCCTGGAACTGCTATCCCATAAACACTGAAACACGCCTTCAAAGTGTCTTATAGTAACTCTCTTCTTTCCAAATGGGGCCCACTGGGAAGGTTAGCGAAGAACATTCAAAATAGCAGGTAAGATGTTTAGATACATGCATCTGGAGAAATAGGAAGCATCAGAATGACATATGGTAGTTTATCTTTCTGTTGTTGATTGTTTTATACTAAGTTTTTAGATAGTCTCCAAATAAGGAAAAACATTATTTTCCTAACCCTTTGTAAAGGTAATCACTTTAACTAGTTAATCTCAACAGAAGGACATTCATTCTCTTGTAACTGACTTCTTCCCTAAAACCTATACCTCAGATATATTTTCATTAACGTTGATTTCCTTTTTTTTTTTTTTTTTTTTAATTGATTTTATACAGAGAGGAAGGGAGAGAGATAGAGAGTTAGAAACATCAATTAGAGAGAGTCATCAATCAGCTGCCTCTTGCACACCCCCTACTGGAGATATGCCCGCAACCAAGGTACATGTCCTTGACCGAAATCAAACCCGGGACCCTTCAGTCCCCAAGCCGACGCTCTATCCATTGAGCCAAACCGGTCCCGGCATGTTGATTTCCTTTTTCAGAAGGCAGCCTTTTCTTAAAATTTGTTTCACATTTTGGAGGTTTTACTAGTCAATGATGAGGAATGAGATTTGTCTTCTTGATTTTAAGTAGTTTAGGTATCATAGCATCTAATCAAATGTTTCAGGTTTGCTTATTTTCTGTTATTACAATATTGTATTAGCCATTTAAATACCAAATCAGTAGTTAAAATCATTCTCTCTAGATAGCAGACAAATAGATAATAACTATTTAACACACCAGCTTACATTGGCCTTTCTCTCAAGGTGGTCACTCTCAATTTAAGGAAATGATCTGCCTTTTTTTTTTTTTTTTTTTTTTAAATACAGTATATGTCTATGGGTACTTTCATGACTAAAGCATTTTGTCAATCATAGGCTTATTTAATTGAGAATTATTGAGCGTTATGTGGCACTTCAGTGTGTCTATGCCAGAATGTTCCTCATCCTTTTGAAACTTCCTGAAAGGTCACCACAAAGAAAGAATGGGGACTTATTCTGGTGATAATGACTACCCCCTTCTATCTGAAGCAGTGATTGATTTGTGTACAAAATAACATTATTAGGTTTTTCATAGCGTATTTTCTCTTTAAGGGGAATTTTTATAAAATTTATGCCAAACAGCCACTGAAATATGCATTCAATTCTGGAATAAAATGTAGTGATTTAATAATATCTTAAAACTAGTTAATAAAAGTCTTAGTTTTCAAATAAACCATGATATTTGAGATATCTAAAATCACAAGGTCTTATCAAGTATTCTCTGCCCTATTCCTAATAAAGTCAGATGGAAAATAGAGGTTAGCTGCTTCTCATCCAGAAAGGAGTTATTTGTTTTAAGTTTATTTGGCCTCTGATTGATTTTTCAGTTAATAATATATTGAGATTTTTTTTTTTTAATCAGAGTATCTGGGTATTTCACTTCAATTAACTTCACACAAGCAGAATTGATTCTTATTTCAAATAAAATAAGTCAGGAGGTAGGATAATAGAGATTGCCAGATAATACAGGAAAGACTAAGCAAGAAAAGATCCCCCCCCCCCAAAAAAAAAAAAAGCAGATCCATCACCTGTTACCCTCATCTTTTTCTTAAATTTCTCCATGATTTCAGGGACATATATAGAAAGAGTTTATTGATCCCTAAACTCAAATTTCTTCTTGTGCTTGACTTTTTCTCGAGCTGAAGTCTGAGCTTGAAAAGAATTGCATTTCATTAAAAGCAGTGACTCGGGTGGGATGGTCAGTAGTGGTCATCTTACTGCTATTCTATTTGCAACTGTGTTGGTAAGAGTTTGTGCTTTTGGGGTGTTTTGGATGTGTTGTGTGTTTTGGGGGGGAGCAAGGTTTGCTCTCTGCCTTTTATTTTTCAAAATTTTTAACGATTTGAAATTTAAAATATTTAAACATTTGAAATTTAAGCTTTACAAAAATTTTACAACGTTATTCATAAATCCTGTATTAAGATTCCTCAGTTGTTAATACTAGAGGCCCGGTGCACAAAATTTGTGCACTGGGGGGTGGAGTATCTTAGCCTAAATGGAAATGGGCCTAAGCTGTTAGTCAGACATTCTTAGCAGCGCTGCAGAGGCGGGAGAGGCTTCCCCCACCGCTGCTGCACTTACCAGCTATGAGCCTGGCTTCTGGCTGAGTGGCACTCCCCCTATGGGAGCACACTGACCACCAAGGGGCAGCTCCTGCATTGAGCATCTGGCCCTTGGTGGTCAGTGTACATCATAGTGATTGGTTGTTCCACCATTTGGTTGATTTGCATACTGTTAATATGTTTTCTTAATTCTCAGCTGTTTTTTTTATTTTATTGATTAAGGTATTACATATGTGTCCTTATCTCCCCATTGCTCCTCAAACCCCCCTACTTGTTTTTATTTTTAAGGCTAATATTCAGGTTTATGGAATAAAACACTCTTCAACAAAATGGAGTGTCTGTAATAATGAATAAGAAATATTGAAAATTTCTTACAGGTTATATATATATTTAAATATGTATCTATATTTATATTTTTATATAACTCTAAATATAAAAATATATAAGTATTAAATATAAAATGCATATAAATATTAAATATAAAATATATATTTAAATATATATTTTTTAAATATATTTATTTATTGATTTTTTACAGAGAGGAAGAGAGAGGGATAAAGGGTTAGAAACATAGATGAGAGAGAATCATTGATCAGCCGCCTCCTGCACACCCCCCACTGGAGATGTGCCCACAACCAAGGCACATGCCCTTGACTGAAATCGAACCTGGGATTTTCAGTCCACAGGCCGAAGCTCTATCCACTGAGCCAAATCTGTTTGGGCTTCCAGGTTATATTTTAATGTAATATCTAAGATTTGGCAAAAGTTGCCATTTTCTGATATTCTCACTTCATAGATGAATTCTAGCATTTTTATGAAGATTGTCTGTTAAGTAAATCTTGTTTTTACATTGGCTTCCTACAGTGACTACTCATAAGAATGTTGAAAATTGCTTTTAAGAAATGTGTTAAGCCGAAACCGGTTTGGCTCAGTGGATAGAGCGTCAGCCTACAGACTGAAAGGTCCCGGATTTGATTCTGGTCAAGGCAATGTACCTTGGTTGCAGGCACATCTCCAGTAGAGGGTGTGCAAGAGGCAGCTGATCGATGATTCTCTCTCATCGACGTTTCTAACTCTATCCCTCTCCCTTCCTCTCTATAAAAAATCAGTAAAACATTTTTTTAATGTGTTAAAAATACTGGGGAAAATAGCAATCTTAAAACCATTAGGTACTCAAACCATGAGAATGTTTCTTGAGTCTCTATTAACATAATATCCTCCTATGGTTATGCTCTAAATGTTTTACTCTCCAAGGTCATAGTACTTTGGCAATTTTTTATCAGTCCTTTTAAATTTAAGTATGAAGTAATAATTCTTTTACCCTTTCTTGATCTTTTGACTCATAACACCTTGAATGATTGTTAAAAGGTATCTTTAGATGGAAAGAAATAGTATCACTATCTGCAGCCCAGTTAGTAGCTGTATTCAGAATGGGGGGGAAATTATTAATTATTGAAAATTGTTTAGGAGTTTGTTAATTATTAAGACCCTGGACTTTGGAGTCAGCACCTGGCTTTGCATTCCAACTCTGCCATTTTCTAGCTAGGAGATCTTCAGCAAGTTATTGAATCATTGTAAACCTCAGCTTGTTCCTTTGTAAAATAAAGAGAAGTAATAGCATCTGCCTCAGAGTTATTAGGAGGATCAGATGCAAATATATATGAGGTACTCAGTGACCTCACTGATATATAACAGGCACTCAACTAGTTGCTAATTTTAACAACACTAGAGGCCCAGTGCATGAAATTCATGCTCGGAGAGGAGGGCCCTCAGCCTAGCTTGCACTCCAATCGGGACACCCCTCTCAAAATCTGGGGCCACTGGCTCCTCACAATTCGCCTGCTTGACTGACTACCCCTAACCCTTCTGCCTGCCTGCCTGCCTGATCACTTCTAACCTCTCTGCCTGATAGCCCCTAACTCCTCTGCCTGATCACCCCTAACTGTCCTCCCTTGCTGGCCTGATCTTGCCCTCAACTGCCCTCCCCTGCCATCCATATCTTGCCCCCAGCAACCCTCCCCTGCCAGCCTGGTTGCCCCTAATTGCCCTCCTCTGCCAGCCTGATCTTGCCCATAACTGCTCTTCCCCTGCAGGCCTGATCACCCCTAACTGCCTCTGCCTGCCTGATCACCCTTAACTGCCCTCCTCTGATGGCCAATTTGGTTCTGATTGGTCAGTTTCTATGCCATTCAGCATCTCTGGGCCTATCAAATGGGCCTGATCAGAAAGGCAGGGCTGATCAGCAGCCCTGGTGGAGGCCTGGACAGAAATGGAGGTGCAACTGTTGGCCAGGCTGGGAGAGAAAGAGAGGCAATTTCTGGTCAATGGCTGCCATAGAGGCTATGGATCAGACCCTGCCTCTCTCTCTGCAGGCCTCTCTCTGAGCCTGATCCACCGCCCCTAGTCAGTCAGTGCTGGGTCAGAGAATCTAATAGCAATCAGAAAAGAGTAGGTTACTTTTGGACTAAACAGTGTATTCATATAAGTGAATACACTATTCACTTATAGTGTATAAGTGAATCCCCCTCAGAAGCTGCTATTACTGAACAGTGATGGTAAGGCTGACTAAATTCTGATAATTCTGTTATTAACCAACCCCCAGAAATTAACTATGGTGACCAACCCCTGCTTATAAGTAGAAGCTGTGGACAAAATGGTAGGTTAATAATGGTTCTTCTTTGAAGCCCCCAAATTCAGTAAGCTAAAGGAGTGTCATCATCGTACCTGAAACAGACATCGTGGTTTTAAGAATTCTTATGCTGAAAATGATGTCCAGTGACATGTGCCTATTTGTAATTTGTTGGTAGTTTAAAAGTTGAAATAAACTAGAAGATGGAGGGTTGGGTTTTCTTTACTGCTTTCAGATGTGTAATGTGGACAAATCATTTGACCTCTTAATTTTATCTTTTGCAAGTGAGGATAATTTTTGCTTCCTTTCTAATAGTGGCAATTATAATGGAAATGAGTTGATAATTCAGGGGCAGACCAATCTTACTATTTTATAATCTATTTCTGAGATATTTTGTTCATTGGAATGGTTTTCAGCTTGATTAGAACAATAACATGTAAAATCCAAGGAAATTACTTGCAGACATGATATTTAACCCATTGTACGCCGTAAGTTTCGGTAGATGCAAGCAACAGACCTTCCCCACAGGCCATGTGCGCCTGTTAAAAAAAAAAAAAAAAAAGTTTTCCTTAAGTGGCAGCCCCAACTTTAAAATTATTTTTTGTGAGAATTTTCAGCTGAAAATATTCAAGAACACCCAAATTGTAATATATTTATTTTTATAATATTCATTGCAAATTGATTTTTTAAATTAAATTCAGAATATTGTGGCGAGTGGGATGGTTTCCATTTTGGACAGGTGGCAGTAAACTGCTTAATTGATGTAATTGAACCATAGTCTTATGTACTATGCAAGTTGTCTTCTTTCATAGGTTTCAACCATTTTTGCTTTTTAAATTGATGATGCTGCTAGATTTGTAATAGACAGCTAGTCACCTTTCAGTAAGCTTTTAATGAGGCTTTTCTCTGTCTCTAGGTTAATTAAGAAACCTAGGTTAATTAAGATAACTTTTTTAAAATTAGCTCTTGTCCTCCCTCTACAGGAGAATTTGCAGCCTTCAAGTAGCCACACCATCATGGCAGCATCTACTCTTATTTCTTAAGTCTTGTGTTCGTACAATTTGTTAACATCAAACACAGTTCTGTTCCTCAGATCCTTTTTTTAAAGAAATGAAATTTTCAATTCATAAGCTGATGTGGAACAGAATGGAAATTCCCATCCAAGAAAAGAGGGAAGAATGTTTTAGGAACCAGAATTCTCTGCTGCCAGTGTTTCTTCTTCAACACAAACACCACGTGCATACAAGTCTGCCCAGTCCCAGGAAGAGGAGAGACCCTGAGTTCTGGCCTTTTGATGGTGGCATGATGGAAAGATGCTCTGCTACAGCTTGGGAGATTGGCTCTGGAGTCTGCCGGTCGACTGTGCCCTTCTAACCACCAGGTCGATGTGCGGCTGATCATCTGATGGGGCAGTTGCAATCACCAAGCATCGTTCTCTTTCCTGCTCTGGGATTCTGTTGTGGAGCTCTTTCCCCTAGCTACCACTGGTTAATTTCCGAGGGACGGAACAAAAATGCAGCATGCCCTACCTGCGTAGTGCACGTTCAGTCCTTGACTCATTTTTATCAAAGTGAAGCTATTTTATTTAAGTGGAGGATGAGAGGGAGACAGAGCTATGTTTTGGTGCAGAGGAAAGGTAATGCTGCATCTTTTTCCTGACCTCCTGGGTTTCTGGCTTCTGTTTCCTTGCTCACTGAGGGTGTCTGCCTACCCATGCAGGCTGGAGAGTGCTGGCACACATTGCCTTCTTTGCTCATTGGGTCCAGCAATGAAGAGAAGTGTCTGGGGGGGTTTCCCCTCCACAATATAGCAAGTTCTCAGGAAAATCTTCCTCCCAAGCTCTTCCAGTCACCAAGTACTTATGTGGCTACTTTGCCCAAGGCACAAAAATGCCATGGTGGTATTTAGTTAAAAGCCTACAGAACTGCTTGATAACAGTTTTGAATGTGAGACATTTATGTAATTTAAATGTAAGGTACAAGTTTTAATTTCTGAGTTTCTTCTCTTATATTTTTATTAAAAATAATTTTCAGATTTAATTAAATTGGAATAAAACAATACTTCCCATTAGAATTATATATCCTGAAAAATTGTATTTTTGTTATATAAACAACTTTTAAAGAAAAATCATTATCCTTCCTCTACCTAAACATGGGGAGTCTTAACATATGACAAATATTTATAATTTTTAAATTAATGGTACTTGCTGGATCCACACTAACATCTTTGCTAATATCTCATTGTTTCTTCCAGTTTACTCTTACACTACATCCTCATTTTCTTTCTAGTCTTTTACCCAGAATATGCAACCTAAAATAAAAATGGTGGTGTCTCCATTCATTCTTTTTCCTTTTTTCCCAAGCCTGGTCTTCAAAAGGTTGGGTAATTTGGCCGCTGAGTTCCCCAGGCAGATAATATCGATAGAACAATTTTGGGTATATTGGGACTGGGAGAGTATGTGTGAAGCATAATATCAATTGTTTTTACAGAAAGAGCTGCTGCGATATTAAGAACCTCATTCTTTATATAAATGGAAAACATAACCTAGCCATAGCTTCCTTTGGCATAAGAGTGGTGTAAGTCACAATAGTAGAAAGAAAGTAACTCTGGACATATTAATGGGAAATACCTCCCTTTTATGGATCTAGAATCTCTTATCAGGATTTGGGAATGTAAATCAAATCAACTGTACTTAGCCCTACCAAGCTAGGTAGCCAAGGATCTGAGAGAAATTGGATAGAACTATAAAAAGAAGCAGGGAATTAGAAATTGTTATTTTAAAATTTCAAATTGTAACTCACCCTGCTATCTTTCAGCCTACTAACACTCACTGCCGTTAGATTTTTGCTAAAATACCTGTATCACAGGAAGGCCTATTAAAAATCGCACGGACATGTAAAATGTCCCAGTTGTCCCAGTAGAATGGGAAGTATACTGAAGCTATTGGTGAATTTCTAAAGCAGTGTATTCTTAAGTCCTACATGAGCAGAGCAGTATCTTAACAAAATTCAAAAATTACAAAGATGTAAAATGGTTCATGCTCATTTGAAGAACATTGTCTATTTTTCTTTCTAAATATGCCACCATGGATGCTTTTAAACATGCTTATGTTCCCTGTACCAAGATTGCAGAGAGCTGGTCTTAAACTATAGGCACAGCATGTCTGCTGAGCAGGTAGAGCTGCTAGAAGCTCAGGTGGGACTGCCTGGATGGCTGGAGCAGTACAGGACCTAGTTCTGGAGGAAGCTTGGCATTGGGGTTTTCCAAACAATATTCAAGGTGATACACTTTTTTCTTCCCTTTCTTTTTTGAGTGGGTTGCTATCTCATCTGAGAAGGAGAAACAGACTCTCAAAATTTCCCCTTCCTTTTTTCTGTCGTTTTTTCTCTAGTTTACAGTTGACATGAAAAGGGGTTTCCCTGTGAGTTTCACTTGCTTTACTGTTTGATGCTTAACTACAGATAGACTTGCTGAGCTCCTAAGAAATACAAGGAAGAACTCCTTGATGTGCACAGCACTTTATGAGTAACTGAATGGGTAATATGTGGCTGCTTCACTGATTATTTCCCAAGGCGGTAATTACCTGTTTTTTGTAGAATGGCTGCAGTGCCTTCCGTGGGGCCTTTAATTTTGGGTAAGGAGAGGTGAAGCCTGAAAAATTTAAGAGTAACCGTAAAAGATTGTTTTAATCCTGGTGGACTTGTTTGGTTTTGTTTTTTCCTAGCTGGTGTACTTTATTATTAAACTGCAGTCTAGGTTGTAGATTTTTGCCACTGAAATAATATTGACCAAAAAGTAGTCTATAAAAGGGATTTGTGAATAGAAAAACCAGTGTGATTCTTTGTACTTATGTGCATCTTAAAAGAAGGCTCTGTCTAGTTGTCAAAATCTGGTTTCTGGATGTGCAGTCCCTGCTTGTATGTGAGAGCTATATGATGTACTGGGACATCCTAGAAGATAAAATCACATGCGAAGTGTATGTGTGATATTCACGTTTGGTGTTGGAAAAGAAAGGGCACTATATTGTTAGGTATAAAGAGATAATTCAGGACTTCACCACTGTCCACCTGAAACTAAATATTTCCTAGATTCTCGTGAGATGCGGGCACAGCTCTTAATCACATAATGATATCGTTTGTTCATCAGGCAACGTTGGCACTGCTGCACCCCCTCCTCAGCCTCACCTCCCACCTGTACATTCACCCTCTGCCTCAGGCAAACCTCATCTAGCTTTAGTTTGAAACATACTACAGCGTTCAGGTGACCTCTTCAAAAAACTACCTCCTCAGAATGAGGTAATGAATATTTATTTTAAAATATGAAGTCAGGAGCTCTAGAACATGAAGATGATTTAGGATTTTAACTTTTATGTGTGCTTGTATTTGAACGCTCTAGTTTTGTCCTAAAGGGCATTTATACATTTAGATAGTAATACTGAAAAATGTAGCTCAGAGTGTCTGAATGTTGTTGCAAACGGTGCCAGAACCTGTTTAGGGGTACGTTTCAGAATATCAACCTTACGTCAGTTGCATGAAATTAGTTACGGTTTCACTTCACTAACAATGATATAATTTTAATTTTCAGTGGGCTTGGCAGGACAGTACACCTTAATAAAGAGTTAGCCACAGAGTTGTCCCATGTGCAGATGCTCCGACAGACTGCCCAGCTAAGGGGGGAGAAAGTAATGACCCATTTTGCAAGATTCTCTTCTTTGTCCAAGTTGGCATTGTTAGTGCTAGAATAGCAGCACCTAAGACCAGCAGATCCCACCATTAGGCTATTTAAAAACACACATAGCCAGACATGTAAGGCTTACTGAGTGTGAACACGAAATAGCTTATAGATCATACATTGAAATGGTGTAGGTGAGGCTGTAGAAAAATACCATGACAATTTGCCAAATGATCTTACTGTGCCTTCATGATGCAATAAAATAAAATAAAAAAGCTAAAAATTTTAGCAGAAATCAGTGATTTGTGAAGAAAGCAGCCACTCTGGTCTAACTCAGCTGTGTTAATATTTTTTAGAGTGCAATTTAGACTGCAAAGATAAATGCACTAAAGAGTTTATAGCCAAATCACATTTAAAAAATGAAAACACAGGTAAATTTTCAGTGAACAAAATTATTTTTTTAAAGCACATAACCCCTAGTATAGTCAGATATATTTATCATATAGAGCAAATAGGTTGAAATTATAGTTCAGTGACATTTCTAGAGAAACTTTTTCTACTCCCATAGGTTCTCAAAGCATGGAACTTTTATATAACAGAAATATTTGACAGACATTTTAAGAAATTGTGTAGTTCAAAGTTGAAGTACTGTATGCTGGGCAGCAGTTGCATGTGTGAACTAAGTGAGAATGAGGAAAGAAATTAAAATATGGGGCAGAATTAGATTTTATCAGTCTCCAGAGTACTGCTGCCAACCTAGACACAGATTTTTCAGAGTTGGAAATATACACTAGCCTTCCAGGACTGGTTGGCAAACTAAGCAGGACTATGCTGCTAATCCTGTCGGGGGGTGCTGTGAGGCACGAAGAGGCATTGGAATAGTTACTGACCTGGCCACTTGTGTGCACTGGACACACTCCGTGGTATGCTTCTTGTATCTTCATTCCTCGCCGCTCCAAGAAAGGCAGTGTACTGTCATAGCAAGTTCTCACGGTGTTTCACCGAGGGCTATTACTACACCCGTAGGTCGCTGAGCACCTGCAGAGTACAGTAGCATCGCTGTTACTGTACTCTCTGGTTTGTATATTGGCCACTGGAGAATGAAGTGGCCAGTGTATTCATGGTCCATGTTGCTAGCTCTGGTAAAGTTGAAAATGCTGGTAAGGTTTTTGTTATATCAGTACACTAGGCAGTAAGCTAAGCTTTGTTTTGTTTTCAGGTAACATTTTTACTTTTGTTTGGCAAAGATATTTACATTGAAAGTCAGTCCTAAATTTTCTCAGTTGTAGAAAGGGTAGTTAACAGTTTCTATTGGGTATTTTTAAGATAGAAGAGGACAAAAACTTAAGTCCTAAATTCTTAAATTAAGGTCACAGGGCTTTATTTTAAAATGCATAGGGACAGTTAGTCCCCACCTCAAAAAATGTTTAGGTAGATCTTTTAGCATCACAGCTTCAACTGTTGATTTAGTCTTATTAGTTATTAAATCAGTTTTATTAAAATGTTTAATTTTATTTAGCTATTTTGACTAATTACAATGGTATAACCAGTTGTGCATGAGGACACAGCCAGTGTATCTATTTTTTTGTGATGCATTTTTTGAAAGAATTTTATAGATTGAAATACTCTTTAAGAACAAAGAACTGAAATATGTTTATTCCTGTTAAGTATAAAAAAAAAAATGAAAAAGGATTTGTGCAGACCATCCGCATCTCCTGGCAGGCAGGCAGGCTGGGCCGGCTGTCCAGCACTCACAAGTGGCTGGTCCTCAGCACAGTGTGTGAAGGAACCAGGCATGGGTTTCACTTAGGAGATGCGGCAGAGGAAGGGTTCTGGTTACAGGGGTGCAGATGGGGATTATGAGTAAGTTACTTAGTACTGGTTTTCTTTTGAAAATTATTGTGTTGCATTTGTGAGTTAAGCTTTTGGTGGAGTAGGAGATATATCAGAGGAAACTTCAAAGTAGCATAAGCAACAAAGCTCACAGACTAGGCACAAATATAGAGAAAATGGACCAAATAGGACAGGGGAGGGTGTGGGAGTAAGTCTGAGGGTCGGGAAAAATTGATGTGAGGGTGGGAAATAAACCATAATTATTTGAAATAAAATGTAAGAGTGCAATAAGTGTGCTTTTCTAAGCTGTGAACGGTTTTGTTTTGTTTTAAATCATTCCTTCCTTATACATTTGTGTGTGTTCCGGACATAGCTGATTAAAACCAGCTATGAAAACATAATGCCTTTTTACTCACATTAATTACCAACATAAGTGGCTAACCTTTATGTTTGTGTATCTTCATGTTACATTAGTTTACACAGGGGCGTGTGTGTTATTCTGTGCCCTTTTCCCTCCTCCATTTGAAAATGCATTCATTGGGTCCTCTGTTTCTTTGGCCATGCTCCACACTAGTCTGGCCTTCATGATGTCGCCTGATTGGAAGGACTATCACAGTGATATATTTTTGTGGAAATCTTTTGTTGATTGTACACTCTGACCTTTTCCTCCCTCAGCAATTTCTGCTTCTAAAATAGGAGCGTACACCTGATCAGGGGATTGGATTTGACAATTTACTAACATGTTCCTTTGATTCTATACAGTAGTTATGTTTGCTCTTGGTTTAGACCAAGAAAAAGGATATCACCCCCCTTTTCATTTACCTTCTTGGTTTGAGGACAATTCTTCTATACAGGAGAAGAAAGGGAAATCTCATGTTTTAACTGAGGAAATGGCTCCAGGTTTACCACTCCAAACCATGTGGCAGTTCTCGTACACATTTCTCTCTCGCTGCCAAAGGTTCAGGTTTAGTTCACTTCAGTTACAAACACTGAAAAGGCTCTCATGGAGTCTGGGGTGCGCCCACTGAAAAGATGGGGACTTTTTAATTGTCCACAGACCTCTCTCTACCTGCTTTGCAAAAATTATGGAGTAACTATTTTTAAAACTTATTTTTCAATTCATAAAAAAAGACATTTATTTTCAGTCAAATGGATGTCGTTTCCCTCTTGCCCCTTAATCCACAGTGTTTGCTTGAATCTTTTTTTTTTTTTTTTTTTTAATTCTTCCCCAACCCCACTTCTTAATACTTTGGTTCTCTTTCCTGCTCAGGTCCCTTCATTTGTACTTTGGAATTTTTCTCATGTAAATTTGTACAATGGAAAATATTGTTCAGTTTGGATAGAAAGCATGAAGAATTAAATAAAGATAGCTGAAACTCAGATTGAAGAAATTTATTTCTGTGTAAAGTTATTTAAAAACTCTGTATTATATAAAAGGCAAAAAAAGTTCTATGTACTTGATGTGAATATGCGAATACTGCTATAATAAAGATTGACTGCATGGAGAATTCTTTATCAACATTATTTTTCTAGCATTATCACATTCAATAACAGTAGTGGTCAGGGTTTTGACCGTCAGTTCTTCCAGGCAATGAAGGGCCTGAGAAGTGTACATTTTGTTTCACACATACAATGTTGATTACTGCTTGCTTGGTAGAAGTTACTTAAGATAGTTTTAAATTGTCAAGATGGATGCCTGCTACATCATGCTGGCTACACTGCTGTAGTGATGACCATCAAGTACTTAGATTCTGCAACCTGATTTCTCCTCCAAGGGCTCAGTTGAAATACATGCTATCATTCAGTCATTTAAGGAGTCTGGAGTTGTTTTTTTAATTTTATCTTTATTGTTTACAGATGTCCTCCTTCCTCCTCTCCCTCTCCCTCCCCCATTACCTCTTTGCTCTCTCGAACCTTCACCACACTATTGTCTGTGTTCATGAGTTTCAAGCTTTTTTGAAATACAGAATGTACACACATGCAAACATATCTATATTTGAAAGAACACACTCAATGGTTTTTCTTTTTATGCTGGCTATCTAAGTTGATTTTGTGCATTTGATTTCTATACCTATGGTTTGAAAGATACCTCGAATATCTTCAAACTATGTCAAAGAACTGAGCAGTTTCCAGAAGTGAACAATTTTGAAACGTCATCAACTTCATCTAGAAACAGAATGTTTGAGAACAATATGAAGGAATAAAAGTCTTCCAGATGGCACATACTATAGTAGTTGAGGAATCTGGTTTCTGTCCTCATGCCCCTCTAATCATAAAATGCCCAGACCTAAGTATTTGTAATGCAGTTTTATCATCTGAAAAATGTAACTGTGAATATAAACATCTTAGAAACTCACTTTCTAAATAACCTTCATACATGATTACAGCAATCCTGGCCTTATTTCTAAACAATATATTATTTTGTAAGAGGTTTTCCTTAAAATTTAGCCCAGAATAGTGAATACTTTATTTTTTTAATATATTTTATTGATTTTTAACAGAGGAAGGAAGAGAGAGAGCTAGAAACGTCGATGAGAGAGAAACATCGGCCAGCTGCCTCTTGCACACCCCCCACCGGGGATGTGCCTGCAACCAATGTACATGCCCTTAACCGGAATCGAACCCGGGACCTTTCAGTCCGCAGACCGATGCTCTACCACTGAGCCAAACTGGCTTCGGTGTGAATACTTTATTGTAATAGAGAAAACCACACTAGTTTGAAATTTTATGAGAAGCTGTAATACTTGGACCTACTGTCTGGGTTAGATATTTGTCCTAGATGCTTAAAATAGCAGAGCATAAAGAGTTCTCTTGCCGGCACCGGTTTGGCTCAGTGGATAGAGCGTTGGCCTGCGGACTCAAAGGTCCCGGGTTCGATTCCGGTCAAGGGCATGTATCTTGGTTGTGGGCACATCCCCAGTAGAGGGTGTGCAAGAGGCAGCTGATCGATGATTCTCTCTCATCGATGTTTCTAACTATCCTTCTCTCTTCCTCTCTGTGAAAAAATCAATAAAATATATATTTTTTTAAAAAGAGTTCTCTTTTTTCTTAATATGTTTTTTTTTTTTTTTATTTCAGAGAGGAAGGGAGGGGAGAGATAGAAACATCAATGATGAAAGAGAATCATTGATTGGCTGCCTTCTGCATGCCCCCTTCTGGGGATCGAACTGGCAACCCTGGGCAAGTGTCCTTGGCTGGAATCAAACCTGGGACCCTTCCATCCACAGGGTGACACTCTTATCCACTGAGCCAAACCAGCTAGGGTGATCAGAAAGAGTTCTTAAAGATAATCTGGTCCAAATCTTATCTCAGTTACTGAATATGGAGCCCTGAATAAGTGAATTGCCTAGGCTCACACAGCCAGGACTTGTCAGTACTCTTTTGTATCACTAGTAGAGGTCAGTGCCCGAAATTCATGCACTTGGGGGGCGGGGGCCCTCAGCCCAGCCTGCACCCTCTCGCAGTCCGGGAGCCCTCGAGGGATGTCGACTGATGGCTTAAGAAGCTGGCCTAAGCCTGTAGTCAGACCTCCTTAGTGGTGCCTCAGAGATGGGAGAGGCTCCCGCCATTCACTGTGCTCACCAGCCAGAAGCCCAGGCTCTGGCTGGACGGTGCCCCCGCTCTGGGCGTACACTGACCACCAGAGGGCAGCTCGTGTTGAGGTCTGCCCCCTGGTGGTCAGTGCACATCATAGTGACTGGTGGTTCTGCCGTTCAGTCAGTTTGCATATTGGCTTTTTATTATATAGAATGTTGTGGCCATGATGCCTATAATGAAATGTGGATAGAAACGGTGTTTGTGGCTAGAAACGGAGGTTGTACAGGCACACTCCATCACTAATCAGGCAAGCCACTGCTTGTGTAGGTGACAAAAGGCATAGACCCAGCTGCTGAGGCAGGTCCAGCAGCCCGCTTCCTTTCTCTCACTTGTTCCAATGACACTCCTGATGAGAGGGTGGCAGCGGGGGACCAGATGGGCCTCTTCTACAGAAGAGTCCTAGTGGCAAGTGGAACGAAGATGACTCTGTACCTCCCTGTAACACTTACAGCAGGTGCTCCTCACACAATACCTCCCGTCTCTAACTTGACTAGATATCCCATTGTATTTACACTCAAGGTTTCACAGGAAACGAAGTTACAAATGTGTGTAAAACTTGACACTTGGTCTCCTGTTGTCATCAATAATTCCTTCACCACCTACCTTTCCATTTATGAAGGTATATCTCTCCACCTACCAGGCACGCCCTAAAACTTACTTAGGATGTCCCTTTAACTCATCAGGGAGATGTCCTAAACTAAATGCCTGT